TAATTGAACAGAGTGGTTGCCAGATACAATGTAAAAGTTTGTCAGGAAAACCCAACTTTCTCTTATAGACTTATTTAGACTTTTGGGTCTGAGAACCCTTATTTAAGGCCATAAGTGTTCAAATAAGTCAAATTTCAGACACTCAGGGAATATGTCTTAGGCCCTTTTCGTCCTTATATCCTTAAATAAGGACCATAAGTCCATTTAAGTTATGTAAGTGTCCTTTTAAGGAAAAGTGGGGTTTTTCTGATGTTGTCAGTGCTGGGTAAGTTTTTACATTGGAAGATATATCTACACATATAGAGAATGCATCCTCAGGAGTCTGATATGTTATGGAAACCTCCCGTCTGTTGCAAGCTGCAGGTTTTGGAGTGCTCAAAAGGTCCCAATTTTCATTAATGTGAGTCAGCTGTGCACGTGATTGAAGAGAGTGGTCAGCTACGATTCCTGTAGGCACATTGGGTATGATTTTTTAGGTGGTCTGACAACTCGAACCATCACTGAATGTGCTGGAATGTACCATGGTCTTTCAAAAACCAGCCTAAGCATGCAAAACCCAAGTGCAGTCAATGAGTGTTCAACTGGGAGGGAGAGATAACAGTTGCACATAGGAACAAACAACTATAAATATCCATGCAGGACGGACTGCAGAAGATGCCATGTCAATTATGGGTTGGGATAGCTTGCTCTCTGAGCAAGAACATTGCACCCTTTCCTATAGTGCAACATTCAGCATATAAGGTTAAGCTCAGCCATAACAGTGATGTCAGTTATTAAAGATAATCTTTTCGACTAATAAGCAGTAATTTAGATAAGAATTGTGTCTAATAAGCAGAGATAAGAATTGTGTCTAATAAGCAAAGATCATCCTTCAGATCATGCTGAGATAATTTGAAGAATCATCTGAAGATTATCTACAAAATACAACTGTAAAATTGCCACCAATCAGAATTGAACTCTCAACCTCATGGTAAATCACATGACATGTTTTCAACTCATGCTTTACACCACTACACCATTGGGCCTTGCAAGTAGTAAACTTTATATATAATATGTAATCTTCTTTTTTGAAAGTAACTTAGTCAAATTCTGACTTTCAAAAGACAGTAAGTGAAAAACTCTAAAGTTGACTATAAACAAAGATGGTTTTAAAGCTTGTAGCATTTATATAATGTCTTGAAATCTCAGATGAGATTACAATAGTCTATAACAAGATGTAAGTATTCTTACTCTAGTAGGTATGTTATAAATTATAAACATTTACTATCTATCTGTCAATACTGATTCACTGTCTAATAGACTTATATGAGCTACTGTAATAAAGAATTAACAGCCAGCTTCTTAGAATCTTAGCCTCCATTCTTTAGTTATATGTTAACTTGTTTTGCTAAGAAACTAGAAAATTTTCAGCTAAACTGTATCAACAGCATGCTGTAATGACTGTTTAAGTTATTACATGAATGCTACAAGTTTTAAAACCATCTTTGTTTATAGTCAACTTTAGAGTTTTCCACTTACTGTCTTTTGAAAGTCAGAATTTGACTAAGTTACTTTCAAAAAAGAAGGTTGCATATTATATATAAGGTTTACTACTTGTAAGGCCCAATGGTGCAGTGGTGAAACGATGAAACGATTTGGATTAGCTGACTATGCTAATACAATAGCTCAGGTACATAATAGGCACCTCGTCAGCCAGTACGGTAGCACGGAATAGTGTAAAGTAGGGAGAGACAAAGGAAAGTGATAAAAGTAATGTACGAAGTAAAGGAGACAAGATGACAGGTAATTACAAGGGTGAAGTAAGATGTGTAAGATGGGTCAGAAGAGATGGAAGAGGAGGGGGTAGAGCATGTCATGTCGGATTAGTACGCCTTTTATATTCTCCCCAAATTCTGCCTGCGAGATGAATAGCAGCTGTATGCCAGCTCTGTGAAAGACGTGCAGAGAGGCGTGTATGCAACAGAGCTGCTGAGGAGATTGGGACACGAGGTACAATGCCGAGGAAATATCGAGACGTGTATTGTGGCCAGTGATCGCTGTCGATGGTGTCCACAGAAAGGGATGTGGTTTCAGCTCCATGTAGAAGCTTGGATGTATCCACGAGGACATCGCGTTGACTGGTTAGACGAAGGGTTTTGAAAACAGGGCATTGTACGAAGACGTGGTGTGGTGTCTCGAGTGAGGCGCATCCGAAGCGACACCACAGGGCAGTATCGCCAAAGCATGCAAAGCGTAAGTACGCAGTGTCGAGTTGGCTACAACGGGCATACAGCTGCACGAGGGTGGAATATGCGAATGATGCCCAGGTGTAGGGATGCTCGGGTGGCGCGGCAGGGTTGTATATGGGCAGGGCGAGAGTTCGGAGAGGTAAAAATGTACTGTCATCGACAACGGCTGCTATAAGGGCGCGGGAGATGGAGGTAGAAAGATCGGATTCAATGTAGCTGTCAGTGTGCGAGAATAGTGTATAGTCATCCATAAAGGTAGGGATCGGAGCAGATGGAAGTGGCTGAAAGTGAGAGTGACTTGCAAGCTGGTCGACGAATGCATTTGCACAGGAAGAGAGGGACAGATTGGAAGTGTGGGCAGGAGTATAGGTGAGATGGGGGGAAGAGGATGAGGACGTGAGGATCTGATGGAGCCATCGGTACAATGAGCGTGCAGGGAGGACCAACGATTGGGAAGGGATTGAAAAGATGTGGAAAGGAAGTCATTAATTATATGGGTGGAGTTGAGGTGATCGGTGTAAAGCAGAGCGGAAGGTGAAGGAGAAAGTGAGGATGGTGTGGATGCCTGCAAGGACGCCGCGACGAGACTGTAGACTTCGGCATGAAGAATAGAAGTGCCATTGCAGAAGGAGGCAAGGGAGCAGACGGTAGTGGAGGTGGGACCAGCTGCGGCAAAGACGGCGGAACGAAATTGACGGAATGAGGGTGCGGCGGGGATGAGGGAACCATCAGAAGCGAACATGGGAAGTGCAAAATGTGAAGGGGGTTGGGAGGAAACAAGTGTGAGAGCATGGAGGACGTGCTCAGCGAGAGCGCGTCGAAAATCACGGGGTAGGGTAAGCATCCAATCACGGGCGACACAAGTGTCACCAGAGCTCCCAGGAACACGAGTGTTGTGGGGACGAACATAAGAATCTGGTGTAAAGCATGAGTTGAAAACATGTCATGTGATTTACCATGAGGTTGAGAGTTCAATCCTGGCTGGTGGCAATTTCACAGTTGTATTTTGTAGATAATTTTCAGATTATCTTCGGATAATTTTCAGATGATTCTTCAAATTATCTCAGGACGATCTGAACAGGGATGGCAGTGACGGGGTCTGACCCCGTCAAGCCAGAGGTCATGACCCGTCCGACCCCGAAAGGTCAAAAAGGTCAAGGGTCACCGCGTGACCGACGCGCGTGCACAACTCAATGGCACGCAACATATATTTCGTACGAAACTGGTTCATTCGTAGAATAGATCTTGTCGTCTCGAAAAAGTAGACAAAATTAGCTTGAATCCCGTCACCTACAAATTGTCATGGTGGGCTATCTTGATATATTATACAACCCGTTCTCCGAGTCATTCAAGGGCTACATACCGTCCTTCCAACCTCTCATAGGACTGATTTTGTAGTCTGGCTTTGGGAGACTAAGGGCTACAGGACTGTTTATGCTACTCCTCAAATTCCTCTGAAGGTCATATGTCCGGGAGACTTGCATCCATGACAGCATCCAGCCCCAGGGCCTGCATGCATATCTCATGAAGTTTCATAGCCATACAGCAGACACACCACATCCTTGGATTGACTACTTGTTCATCCAGTTTTGGCCTTCTTTAGAAACCCTTCCGGACTGGGTGGGGGACATACCAGAAAGCATGCACATAGTGCCAGAGGGAAGGAATAAATATATGTTGTGCTACACAGTAAGTTAGACACTGCATCGCCAGTGTTAAGCACCAAGCGTTTAGTCGCTGCCGAAGCTGCCGAGCCGTGTCAGTCATGCCTTGACGCGCTGACCTCCGTGACCCTGGGGGTCGGACCCCGTCAAGGTCACTGACCCCGTCAAAGGTCAAGGGGTCGAGCGTGACCTTGCCATCCCTGGATCTGAAGGATGATCTTTGCTTATTAGACACAATTCTTATCTAAATTACTGCTTATTAGTCGAAAAGATTATCTTTATTAAATGACAATGATGGCCATAACCATCTGGTGTCATGTGCAGAAGACTTACATTGAAAATCTAAAAACTTCGCGGGCCGGCACTCTTTCAGAGAACGACAAATGATGAAATTTCGAGATTCTTAGCAACTAATTTTCATTGTTTGAAGATTCGATGTCCATCCAGTTGTTCCAATGCAGTTAGATTTACAAGATAAGTGCAATGCACATGACATTGGAGGGATATGGCTGAGCCCAACCTTATGATTATCATGTACATTACAAAAATGCTGTATAATAGGAATGTGGAAATGATGTTGCCAGCAAGCACACAGAGGGAAACAAATTTTGGGTGTATCAGTGACCGGTCCTACACTGTACCTCTGCAATTTCGAAGTGATCAGGTAAGGGAATAGAGCCGTAGGAAAAAATTTGGCACTTCTGGGTCATTTGGCACATCCGGGTCTGATAGTAAGGCATTTTGAGTACCTTTAGCACCATTTTTGTCCCCTCGCAAGGCAGTTACAAGTCCCAAGGAGATGTCAAGGCCCGTTGCAAGCCGCATTGTTTTTTTCCAACAAACGTTGGCGGATGTTGGCAGACGTTGGTGGACGCCGGTGGACGTCGAACTTTCCACCGCTGGGCGTGTAACTCACCTTTTCAACGTGTTTCAATGTGCTACATTCCGATTTTCTAGGCATTTTCTGACAAATTCTGTGAATTTCGGTAGCCTTCGAGAGTTTATTTGTTCGGAGCAAACAACCAGCCTGAAAATACGCCCTTCGTGACTTGTCTTTTCAAGCCTTCTCCGCAAACATTTCTTGTTTCTACCTCACTGGTGTCTCCTCATGGTGTGTCGCCTTTCTCACCGTCAGCGTGGTCGCGATGCTCACTGCTCTCGATGTGTAGGCTGCTCAGGCAACGTTCAAGTCCATCAAGGCCGTCGTGCCTCTCCTTGACCGTGTCCTCGTCCAGCGGTTCAAGCAGGACGCGGTACGTCAATGATGTTCATTATAGTGAGACCTCAGCGGGGTGCTCACCGTGTTCGTGTGAAGAAAACCGCATCCGGTATCTTCCTGCCTACCTCTGCGACCAACCAGCCCCTCCCAGAGGCGACCGTGATCGCCGTCGGCCCTGGTGCGCCGAATAAGGACGGTCAGGTCCTACCTACGTCGGTCAGAGCTGGGGACCGTGTTTTGTTGCCCGGTTGGGGTGGCAATGCGATCAAGGTCGGCGAGGAGGTGAGCGTATCGATGCGAGTCGTGTGGGCTCGATGCTGATGTTACGTGTGTAGGAGTACTTCCTCTTCAGGGACTCCGAGATCCTCGCGAAAATCCAGGAGTGAGCGATTTCCGTAGCTTGAGGTTAGCGAGCTATCACGTTGAGGTTCTGGCGGGGATCTTACTTCGAAAAAAAGTTTGCTACCATCTGCACCGTATCAAATACTAATTTTTCTGTCATTGTTATCTGCGCATCCCCTTGCAATTCTATGCACACTCCGCTCATCAACTGCCAGCGTCCATTTCTGGCAATGGTATGAGAATGGTATACGCTACAGATGCCCCCTCAGTCGTGGCTTAGTCGATCAGCCCTCATGGGCCATCCATGGGCCAAAACTGTGAGTTCCGTTTAATGTTCTCAAGTTTGCGTTCTGGGTTGCTTCTCTCCCTTCGTGAGTACATATCCGCTCGAAATTAGCAACGACTTTGTCTCGTGAATTGTTACAGCTGGGTAGTGACGACTCTCTACACCGTACATCGACTAGTGATTTGTAAGTACCTTCTGACCTTCCGGCAGGACGTTTGGCTGCCGACACTACCACAATATCAATAGCGCATGAGTTTCTACACAGCAGTGTATTTCCTTCGTTCTCAGGTCAGTAAGTCGATAGGATCGATGCTTTCTGGGTCAGCGCAATCAATTATCTTCTTAATCGCTCTATAAGCTGAATCACCGCGGCAGCATGCTTGACTGCTTTGGAAAGCGAAACCGGGAGCCATATTGGCCCGAGTTCGTGATCCGAAATGGGTTCTTGGAGAATTTGCAGAATATGATCGGAGATGGTACGTGGTCGTCCGGTGTATGTTGCTTCCAGTTCGTCCCTCACCATCTTCAGGTTGTTGATCGCCTTGGCTGACATCCCTCCGCTGCTGCCTGTACTCGATGGAGGAAACGGCCGTTATGCTATCCTCAACAAGCTGCTTCTAGTTGTCAGCGTTCTCAGTGGCACGTGTGACGATATTGGATATCGAATGCTTTAGTTCGAGTAGAGCGTCGGATGAGCGGGGAGCGGCATGTATGCGAGTGCGTGGTCCTTCACGCCTCGGTTTGAGCATGCCGATGCTCTTACGTGTTGTCCTCGCGGCCACGAAGACCCGTGTTCTGCTTGTAAACCTCGGATCTTCGCTCTCGGTGCAGGCCACCATGCTTCATATGTGCGGCGTGCACCCGAGGATCTCTCACCGAGCAGCTCGTCTGGATTTCGCAAAATGGCTCCCCCTCTCATCCCACCCTCTCAAACCACCCAGAACATCATGCTCCTCCTGCAGCAGTACCCGATCCTCATGAACGAGATGCTCGTCTTCTTCTGCGAGTCTATCCATCCATCGTATGCAAAGGCCGAAGACCTACTGAATATTCTTTGTACCCCTAGCCAGTGCCCAACTGCTGTCCCAAATTCTCGGTACGCAACCGCGGGGTAACCAGTCCTCGCCTTCTGGCAGCGGCGGCGCTTCCCCCGTCGTAGTCGGTGGGGTCGTCGGCGGGATCGTGAGCAATGGCGACGGCTTGCGGTACGACCTGGAGGCCCCGGTGCATCGCATCGACCTGGGCTGCGAGGACCAATATGAGGTGTGTGGTGCGTTTCTCTGAGTAGCGGTATTGCTGAAGGACGGGTGTGCGCACAGAATGGTCGAGTTCGTGACGCGGACGATCGACAAAATGCGTCGCATGGGATTACTGTCAACGCTGCGATGGAGAAGCTGGGGCTGCACGAGTATGCTCTTCCGTTGTGCATGTATTAATTTTGGTGTGCTGAATTTTGCGTGGTAGCCCTCGCGACCTGCTCCCGGGTCTTGAAGTGCGCCTCTTGCCGCACCAGGCTATTGGCGTGAACTGGTAAGTATTGGTCCATGCCTCTCCGCTGTCCCGCGCAGAACACCGTTTCAATAGGATGCTTGATCAAGAACGCAATACTCCGCGCAAAGGTGGCATCCTAGCGTACGTCTACGCCAACCTCCCTTGTTCACCTTCTTATATTAGCTCTGCGCTTAGACGACATGGGTCTAGATACGTTTCTCTCGACGACGTGAGATTAGATGTTAATTCGTCATGTAGGCAAGGGTGCAAATGATTGCAACGATGGCAATGAACCAGCCCGGCGAGGGCGACACGCACCGCCCGACGCTCATCGTCGTTCCCGCCGCGTTGCTCCTCCAGGTACGTTCGCTCTCCAACAGGCATTCCGAATGAGATATTGACTGCGTGACGCGCGCAGTGGAAGGAGGAAATTGAAACGAAGACGAACGGGATGTTCTCCGTGCACATCCGGCATGGACGCGAGAAAACTAAGTCACTCCCGAAGCTCGCAGACAAAGACGTGCGTACCCATAGCCCCCACCCTATATTTTGTCCCACGCAATCAGAGGAACTTATCTCATTTGTTAACCTTCTCCGCCACGGCAAATCTTGTTCCGGGACATTGGAAGTTGCTGCCAGGATGCTGCCGATGTGGACAGTCACCCGCCTATGACATGCGGCGCTCAGATTTTGCAGCGTGAACAGGAATATTGAACTACAAGGATTGAAGACGGAGGCTATTCGGAGAACGGGCATCGCTTGGGAGCTTGAATCGCAGTGCATCTGCGTCGCATATATAACTACTGTACAGAGTGACACTAACTCCGAGCCTCGTACCTCTTGGACATACAGAATCTGTTACGTCGCACGATAGGAGGGTCAATTCCGAGTCTGGTCAGAAGCAGGTCCTTAAAAGTGTGAGTAAATGACACCTCTACTGCACTCTCGAGAACTAACGACTGCAGTCGTGATCGGCACTCCTAGTCGCTCACGCACGGGCCGAAACTATTTCTGTCATTCATCATTCTCTCTCAGGCGTCACGATCACAACTTCCGAACATCATCATCTTGTAAAGTTTTTGAACACTGCGTCAGACTCGGAGGAGCTTCCTTCATTTGCTAACCTTCCACGGCACGAAAAAACTCCATTCGGACACCTTAGAGATCGTTAGCACAATGCTGCTATGCTGATGACGTGGATCATCAGCCACCTATAACATGCGGAACTCAGGGTCGGCAGCGCAGACAGGATCGAACCGCCAGGATTGGATACGAAGGCTGAACCGCGAGTGTGAATATCACGACTACGAGGACGTACGTCACTCGAAAGCCTGAATTGCGGCCGCGCACCTGCATTCAGGCGCAGATATATCTACTGTACAAAGTAACACTGATCACGACTGCGGGCCCGTAAGTTCTCGAGAATGCAGTAGAGGGAGATGTCATTTACTCACACTTCAAGGACATGTCTCCTCAACCAGACTCGGAAATGGACGCTCCTATCGTGCGATATAACAGACTCTGCCCGATGAATAAGAATCGGTGGAATGTTGTGAAAAGAAATGATACCGCACCTCAGGAAACATTACTGCTGGCCTTCCCTACTTTATTGCGGTCACCCTTTGCCTGGTTCCCCACCGCGACTGCGTGATCCGCGGGAGTAGGCATGTTGCGGCTCTCTTTCATGGTAATATCATCCATTAGATCGATACCCCCACGTGCTGCAGATTTTGATGTCAGCTTGATCGTCCCTAGACATGGTTTAAACGATTTCTACGGTGGTAGGTGTGCAGCGCGGACTCGTACCAAGTATGACTACGGTGGGTTTCTTACTGCCTTCGACTCCGTCGTCGTATTCATTCCTACCGTGGAATGGGAGGACGTAGTCTCTGTACACCGTAACAAAGAAGCTGCTGACTTGATGCCACGTTTCTGGATCTCTGACAACCATGCCCTGAACCATGCTAACATCTGAGCGACGCTCCCCCTGTCCATGTGGCCGGGTTTTGTCAATCAACGTCGAGTTGATATCCAGGATTTGGATTTCGAGGATCTTAGTGGAGAAAAGCGCATGAAAGTCGTTATCATGTGCGGTTAGATGTGTACCGTCGGTGATTTTCCAGAGCAACAGGTTCAAAGGGAGCTGCGACATCATATGGGAGGAACGAGGGCTTGACGTCATCGTCCAATGTATCTCACTGTCGCCGAGAAAGGCAATCTGTTTGAGCGGGACACTGAGCAGAACTTGCGTAGCAGTAGGCACATCATTTCATGCTAAATAGAGTCTTCTGTAAATATATCGGTCGACCAGCCATTGATGTTCCCAAGATGGCGGTTAATTGAAGTAAGACTGTGGTGTACGCTGAAATGAAACGATCGGTGCCTCTCCGAGCATGCGATGCCTTGGGATACTCAAGTACTCACCGTCAATACAGCATCTCTGGACTCTGAGTAGTATCTAATATCATGGGACCAGTCAACGCTCTATGCATGATGCAACGCGTTCTCGTAATACTCGCCTATCTCCCCTAGATATACCGAGTGCTCCCCGTGATGAGAAGACAACTTACGGCTCGAAGTCGATGGTCATCCTGCGCCTCGGTCAACTGGAACATCTGTCAGCATTCAACGTTCAACGTTCAAGAACGAAACTTGTAAAATCTACGCACTTAGATCTAATCCCTTGGCTAGGGTTCAACGTTCAATCTTCCCTCTCGGCCCATTTCCCATGCTCGTCCATCCGCACGTCGAACTGCCACGTCTGCGTATCCATCCACTGGTCACGGAGGAACGCGTCCCAGAAGCGCACATGTACCTCGCCCGCGCCGTCAAAGAAGTAGCCCACGACGCGTGGATCCGGGCCGAGATACTCATGTCTGTGGACCGAAGCAGCGCTCAACGACACGGAAGAAAGACGCGACACACATGCCCCACATCGGTGCAGAAGGGAGAGCACGCTGACCTCCGCGGGACAACGTCGTCCGCCGTAACATAATTCGGCCCGCGCTCGCACAGCTGTACTCCATCCAGACGACTAATAACGTCCCTCTCCTTGTCCCCGTCACGTCTGCCCTTCTCGCCCCCGCGCACCTCCTCGAGGTAGAACCGGTGCACGAGCACGTTCAGGTCCGCGCCCGAGTGCACGGCACGCACCTCGAGCCCTCCGCGCGCGCGGTACGTCCGCGGGAGGTGTATGCGCGTGCGCTCCAGCGCGGCGCACTTTTCGAGCGGCCAGCGGTGCACGGGCCACGCCGCCGCGCGTCGGTAGTCGCGTAGCTGCTTGAGCGCGTCCTGCCGCTCTTTTTCACCAGAGCCCGGCTTGGGCTGCGGTCTGCTGGGCTTCACAGCGTTCTTGGGGAGTGCGAGCTCGCGGGGTTCGTCTTTGATTGCCATCCTGGAGGATTATATACAGATAGTAGAATGTCTGACGACGGGCAGCAGGCGGTGGAACCGGAGAAAATTTCCTGCCCGATGCGGCAATAGACGATCCTTTTTCGGAGGGTAGGAAAGCTCGGGCTCCGCCGAACGTTCGCCTTCTCCCTCGATCGGTAGGCGGTCATGTATTTTTCAGTATTAAACCCTCTCTAACTCTATCGATATTTCATAGGCGAGCGCAAGGTGTTATAATAATCGGGATATTCACGAGTCCCGCCTGTACGAACGCAACGTTATATGGCAGCGCAAGGTTCGGCGTTGGCAAAGGTGAGGAGAAACACCATTTGAACGCGCACGTCGTGGACGGAAGGGCGCACAGACATATGGTGAACGAAGTAAACATCAGTTCGTACCTCAAATCGAGGCATTGGTATCCGACCGACTCCGCCACTCCCGGCCGGTGAAAACTTTTCGAGCAGCGCCCTCGTCCATGAACCGACGAGAACACCGGCGCCGATCCAGCGTATACGTATTCCAACGAGGAAACGCGCTGGCAACCCCTCCGGCCTACATACCCCAGGACGACGACGCGGAAGAGGATGGGGTCTGACGATGATATGAATTATATACAGCTCGATCGCCGGTTCGTACAGCGTTCGGTAGATATGGACATGAGCAAGCCACAACGAACGTCCGCCGGGTGCTGCTGCTGCTGCTACGCGCTCCGCATAAGCTCGTCGACGTCTCGATCGTGCGCCGCGAAGTAAGTAGCCGTCCCAGAGGGTGAAGCGCACCGAGACGCACGAACCCGTCCAGCGACGACGACGACGCCGACGACAAAGAACAGTGCCCATCCACAGGACTAGGGTTCCAACGGGCGTTCGGAGATTGCACTTCAACTCGGGCGCGCGACTCGAGGAAAGCCGGCATCGAGCTACCTGTCTCCACGTCTGACCCGCGGTCAACATCGCGTCAGCACAAGCCCGCATGTTCGTCGACCGCGTCCTCAACACCAGTATCCGACATCCCAATCCGAGTGCAGAAGCATCTCAGCGCCCCCGTGCATATCCGAGTCGGAAGCGAGCCGCGACGAGTTCACATGACGAAGACCTCACTCTACGCCTCACTAGCACTCCTCGCACCAACAGCGCGCGACGAGGCGGCCCCCTCGACGTCTCGCGTCCGTCGGTCTGCAGCCCGCAGCGCAGGTCGAGAGAGAAAGACGGAAAGGCACACCGTGTACACGCACCCCGGGCATAGCTTTGCCCCCAAGACAACCCTGGCAGCGCACGTGGGGCCGAGGCAACTAGTAGTGGGAACCGACACCGCGCGCGCAGGTACGCACCTGTGGGCGCGCGTGTGTGCCGTCGAAGATCGAAGCGTGCCCACACACACCGCATATATATCGGCCGCCTTCTAGATCTCCTGCGCAGAAGGACGGGAGCTCCGATCTGGGTGTGTCTCACGCGGAACGCGTGCTGGGTTCCTGGCTTCATGGCGCAAATGGAGAGCCCGAAGCGCGGCTTCACCTCGGCGAAAAGAAGAGAGAGACACGTCCGACAGAGCGTGTGCGTCCTCCGCGAGGGGTTGGGATATATATAAGCGTTGTAGCGGCGGGAGTGCGCAGGGAGAGACTTGCGCGACGTGTGCGTCGCTAGGACAAGGGCAGTCGCTGGTGCATCGCATGACGTCCCGAGGCCCGGCGCCCAAGGGTGGCCGGTTCAGAAGCGCGGTGAGCACAGGAAGCATCCACACCGCGAAGAGAAGCAAGACCGCGGGCGCTGGATGAGCCAACCCCGCGCACTCCACGAATAGCGCGAACACCCACGCACGGCGCGCACAGCAGCACAAACAGCTAACGCCTCCTCGCACAGATACGACACAGGGGCGCCAAGCCCCGTCCTAGCGGCAACTGCCAGCTCGCCAGGCACGCAAAATGGATCCGTGCGCCGCTCTCCTTCCCCGCACCAGGCTATCGACCCCGACGACGTCCGGTGCACCGATAACCGCGCGCACGCATCGCGGCTGCGATCGGACGCGAGCGGGGGTGCTCGGGCTGGGCTGGGCTGCGCGCACGGAGCATTTTTTTTTGAAGATGGGTTTCTTATCTCTGCGTCGTATCGTCATCACAGCCGCAAGCGAGACCGAATTGCAAAGGACCGGGAGGTGACTCGCCCGTGTGCCAGCCTCGCAGCGGTGTCCTATATCCCATGCCTGTTCTCCGTGGCAGACCAAGGCTGATCGCTGACGCTGCGGGTGCCAGATGCCGTACGCCTGACAGTGGTCTGTGGGAGGCAACAACGCGGAGGACGGATATGGGCAGGGGTTCGCAGCACAGGAGGCCGTGAGCGAGCAGGCACGGTGGCGTATATAGCTGTGACGTGCGTCTCGTACCTGGCACTGCGGTGCCGTTGTCGGACTCGGAGGAGATGATCTTCGATGCCCACAGAGGATCGGAGTGAAAGAGAGGAGAGACGGCGGGCATGTGATTATTGTGGTGCTGGGCGGGGAGCTCGAGCTCGAGACCTGGCCGGGCGTGCTCGAGCGTTTCCGGACGACGACGGACGACGATAACGGGAGCAGGAGCGGCGAGCGCGCGCTGTGGCGGACAAACTCCGCGTAAACTGTTCAGGCGTCGTCGCCGGATTTGGGGAAGCAAGTTGCGAGATTGGCGGGAGATGATCGAGTTCGCGTCTTCGCTGGCACGTGAGCTGCTTCTTTGCTGGGTGAAACGCGGCTGGTCGCGCGACACTGGGATGCAGCCTCGGTGGGTTTGCGTGCGCAGGGAGCGTCGGGGGCGGGTGCTGGTGTTCCTGGGCAAATAATCTGTGGAGATCTGGAGAGATGATCATCGGGAGGGCGATAAATTCCCGGCGCGCCATTGGGCGATAAGCTGCAGAAGCCGTTATCGCCAAGGACGCGCGCAGAGCTTTAATCGCTGCTCGTCCGCGTCTGCGCCCCTTCTTCTCTTCCACGAAGCCGCCTTCGCCTCCTGCCGTCTTCTCCCCCAAAGGCGAAACACTACTGCCCTCCCAGATCGCGCCGTCATGGTCAATGTAACTTACGACGCCTGTACGCCCTCTCGCGTGCCGCTCTCCTCCCCGTGCTCACCCCTTCCCCGCAGCTGGAGACATCAACTACTACGACCCCTCCACCGGCACGACCTATGTCTACAACAACGGCGACATCGCCTGGGTCCTCTGCTCCACCGCCCTCGTGTGGATCATGATTCCCGGCGTGGGCTACTTTTACGCCGGCCTCCTCCGTCGTAAAAACGCCCTCTCCATGATATGGGCGTCCATGATGTGCGTCGCCGTCGTCTCCTTCCAGGTCAGTTCATCTTTCCCGCCAATCCTTGCCTCGCTCTAACCCCCGTTTTTATTCCAGTGGTTCTTCTGGGGGTAAGCTCCCCTTGGTTTTCGTTCCGGCGCCGGACTGACGCACGCGACCCCAGCTATTCGTTGGCATTCAGCGACTCCGCCGACAGATATATTGGCAACCTGCGTGCGTATCGTCGACCCGCGCCACTCCTCGTCTGCGCACTGACCGCACGCCGTCCGCAGGCTATTTCGCCCTCAAGGGCGTCCTCGCACAGCCCTCCGTCGGGAGCGCCCGCATCCCCTCTCTCGCCTTCTGCGTCTTCCAGCTCATGTTCGCAGCCATCACGTATGCCCTCTCTCCCCTCCCTCTGCTTCTCCGCTAAACCGCGCCCGCAGACCCATGCTCGCCATCGGCGCATTCGCCGAGCGCGGCCGCCTCGGGCCCATGATGGTCTTCGTCTTCGTCTGGTCCACCCTCGTCTACGACCCCATCGCGTGCTGGACCTGGAACCCGAACGGCTGGTCCTTCGTCCTCGGCGGCCTCGACTTCGCCGGCGGCACCCCCGTGCACATCTCCTCCGGCTCCGCCGCGCTCGCCATCTCGATATACATGGGCAAGCGCCGCGGCTACGGCACCGAGCGCCTCGCGTACAAGCCCCAGAACACCACCTACGTCGTCCTCGGCACCATCTTCCTGTGGTTCGGCTGGTTCGGCTTCAACGGCGGCTCCGCGCTCTCCGCCAACTTGCGCGGCATCCAGGCGTGCATCGTGACGAACCTCGCCGCGAGCGTCGGCGGGATCACTTGGATGCTGTGGGTGCGTGCATGCGGCGGCTTCCCCGCGTTCTTACCTTTTTTTTTGTGGAAGGGGCTGATGATGTGGCACAGGATTACCGCCTCGAGCGCAAATGGTCCGCCGTCGGCTTCTGCTCCGGCGCCATCTCAGGGCTCGTCGCCATCACCCCCGGCTCCGGCTTCGTCGGCTCGCGTACGTCCCCCCCCCCCTCCATTCCTTCCCAATGCTGACTTGCGTTTGCGCACCCGCCAGCCGCGGCGGTGCTCTTCGGCTTCATGGCCGGCACGGTGTGCAACTGGGCCACGCAGCTCAAGTTCCTCCTCGGGTACGACGACTGTCTCGACGTGCGTCCGCCCCCCTCCCCTCACCCTCCCTCACCTCCCTCTCCTCACTCACCCTTACCTTCCGCAGATCTTCGCGTCACACGCGATCGGCGGCATCGTCGGAAACGTGCGCCCCATTCCTCCCTTACTCGCCCGGGATAGAGAGAGAGACTGACTGACGCGGCGTGTGGCAGATCTTGACGGGCCTGTTCGCCCAGGCGAGCGTGGCGGACTTTGACAGGATCACGACCATCCCCGGCGGGTGGCTCGACCACCACTGGCGCCAGCTCGGCATCCAGCTCGCGGACTCCGTCTCCGGCCTGAGCTACTCCTTCGTCATGACCGTGAGCCGCGCTTTCCTCCCCCCGTTCCCCGTTTCGCTCCCTCCCTTTACTCTCCCCCCCCTTTGGTGCTGCGCCGTGCCGGTCGCTAACGCGTTGCGTTCCCTCGACAGACGATCATCCTCTGGCTGATGCACTACATCCCGTACATGCGCCTGCGCGGGACGGAGGAGGCGGAGATCACGGGCATCGACGACGCCGAGATGGGCGAGTTCGCGTACGACTACGTCGGGTTCGACCTCGCCGCGTCCGGCGGGCACGCGGACGGCGAGGCGCCAGCGTCCGCGCCCGTGCCGGCGTCTGTGGACGCGAGCGTCGCGGACGAGAAGCAGGGGGAGGCGGCGTGAGCCCGGCGTTGGGTTGTGTTGTGTTGTGGAGTTTTAGTTTTTTTTTGGTCGTTGTGTGGGTGTGGGTGGGGCGGAAGAGGGTAGAGCGTCGTCACTTTCTTACTGCATATATCTGCCGAACAGACCAACAGCTTGGATATACAGGTACGGTACGTAGCAGCCGTGTCCCCCCATCCCGTCCCGTCCTATCACATCCCATCCCCGTCGTCCTATATCTATCCGTATAATAGCAATCGCAAGCACCTACTCGAGACGTGTGTATCGGTATCGCTGATAGTAGGATCGCACGGGCAGTAAGTACTAAGTAGCGCGGAGCTGATGTGACTCGACGGGTGGAAATTCGAAAACGCACGCGCGCGGAGGTGAGACAGGGGAGTTGACTAGCGTACATAACGATACGCGCGCCGCCGCGTCCGACCTCGGGCGGCGGTTAATCGCGTGCGCTCACGAGCGGTCCTGCGCGCCCCCGCCCCCGCCCCCACCGAATGTCTCGAATCCACGCAGCTCCTGGCCGCCGGCTTGCGAGGCAAAAATCGACGCGAAGAGTCGGTGGAGACCACGGCATGCACGGGGGGCGGTCACCTGTGGGGCAGCAAATGAGCGCCGTTTAGGGAGGGCTGAGCTGTGTGGGCAAGGCGGGGAGTCGGGACGCGAGGTGAGAGCACCGAGTGAGAGTTGACGTCAACGGCTTCGTGGTGTCGATCTTCAGGAGGCGCGACGTCCGGGATACGCCAAGCCCATGGCGACGCTGCTGCGACTGCCTCTATGTTCAGGCCCTCCTGATTAAGAACTCCGTCGAGTTCCTGTTCCGCATCTCTGTAACTGACTGCCACAGCGGAAACGTGTTGCGTTCTTTTTTTATCTGTGACGTTCATTGACCATCGGTCACCGCGACAGTCCATTCTTCTCCTAGAAGCCGCCGCCCGTGCCCTCAGAGAGGAGGCGTGCAAGGGATCGGCGGGCATCGATGCGCGAAACTTGGATCCACCTAGTTGTTAAATATTCTTGACGTTGACAGCTGGGACATACGGAGGTAGCACATGCACAACGCAGGTCTGCCAAACGCCCCGCATCGGGGGTGGCCAGGTGATGACGATGTCGAGGACGTGTCCGTCGTCGTCGAGCGATGACGTTGACATTGTATATCCGCACAAACACCACATTCTCGGCAATGCACATATGTGCGACGGCACGGGCATGAAGAACGTCCGCGATCATGCGCGGTCCAGCGCGAGTAACTGCGGCTCGACCACATCGATTTCGACTCGCGGTAGCAAGTCGACCCGAGGTAGGCCATCATCGCCCGAGATTACGCGGAACCAGCAGCGGGATCGAGGTGAACCTAGGTCAAATAGAGTGTCAAAAGCGATGTACTGCAGCGTCGGCAGCGCCGCTGCCGTCTGCCGAGCAGCATATTGAAGGCGACGAATGTCGCATAGTGGAGAATGACTGCGCAGTCCAAACGAAAGTGCAACAAGGGGAAGTCCGTCAAGTGCGCGTGAAATCCTGAGCTGGAAGAAAAGTCAAGACGGTAGTGAGCGATACCCTATAACACGCACCGACTGAGATGAAACAGCGAGATCGACTACCTCGCTGCGGTCCTCTTTCAGAGTAATCATCAGATACTTCAAGTCAGGCGCGACCTCCGGGATACGCTCAACAGTCTCCGGGAGCACCTCGCATGTCAGCACTACTGGCGACGCATGCTGCAGCATAACCAAAGCGGCACGATTACTCTCTTCGGGCGCCTTTATAACATCGTAGCCCAGTGTAAGTCGGCGGACACGGGAGAAGAGCTCGATAGGTGCACTTGTATCGACTTCGTCCAAGGAGGCCCAATGCGGGGACAAATCTAGACACACGGGACAGAGCCGCAACTTGAGGTGTCGAACGTTGGGGAATGCACGCGCAAGGTGAGATAGCAAGACATCCCCTGGATCGTGAATGTGCAAGGTCCGCACACGCGACCAGATTACGTCGACGCTCAATCTGTCTTGAAAACCAAACGTCAGGCGTAATTGGAGGGTCTCTAAGCAATCAGCAAAATTGCTGAGCATGCACCCTTGGAGATTGAGGTCCACGAAAAGCTCCAGCTTGATGTTTCGTGGGCGACTAGCCATCCTTGGCAACAATGCGGAACAACTTTTGCCTAAGAAGGAGAAGGAGATACTATCGAGGCATGTTAGGGCGGCAAGTGCGTCTCCTAGCGACGGTTCTGAAAGAAGGTCTTCTAGATGATCCAACCTCAAGGACTCGAGTGACTTCGCATGAAGAAGGACTTCGGAAAGTGCGAGAAGGTCCGACCTTTGCGGACGCAAGGTCCCGAGATGGAATGCGTGTACGCACGCCGGACGGCGGTACGGCTCGGCAAGCATGAAAGCACAGAAGCCAGATAGCTGTGCGTGTTTCTTGATGCTCACATCGGAGAGATAATGAGGTATGGAAATGGTGTATGCATGACGACACGTCTTCCCAAATTGCAACGCATCGACCGGAACTGCGAAGGACAAAACCGCTGCGAGAACGTCATCGTTGAGTGCTAACAATAACATAGCCTAGGCTCGATGCTGAATACGCTGCTGCATAAATCAACGGATTATTCAGTGGATTCAAAACAATTTAAGGCACGACGTACTAAATCTCAGTCCAGTTAACGTTTCTACAAAGAGTTGTCAACGTGAAGAACAATGTCAGCGAACACTGGATACTGGCACAGCCATGCACTTACATCGTACCTGCTCTCTCCAGTATCGCCCTGTGTTCAGGGCGGGGAGATGACTGGATGACTGAAAAGAAACAAGCCTGAGCGCTTCAGCGTGTGCAGTTCTAATCGTGCACGTGCGAACTCTCACATCAGCTTCAATTCTTGTTTTCAATGTCCCGGAACAAGATTTGCCGTGGCGGAGAAGGTTAACAAACGAGATGGGCTCCTCCGATTGCGTAGTGTTCAACAACTTTACAGGACCAAGGTGTTCGGAATTCATGAGGGATGGCAGAAATGGTTTTATGGCACATTCTTGCGAAACGTATTGCATTGGAAAGGATTATACAGTAGATGACTCCTCGGTGAACGTCGTCTTTAACAAGATCTGGCGCGACCCCGTCCTACAGCAATTCACAACGCACCCTATTAACGCCCTGACTATTCGCACATAACACAAAAGCTAGAAATGTGTAAATTACCCGTCGAAGGGAAATGTGAAAAATCAGATCGAAAATGCAGTGGCAGCAAGACATGCATTTCATCTCTCCATCGCAGCGTATAGTCAAATCCAACATATCCCAGTGTCGGGAGAGTCGCTGCAACCTGCTGCGCGAGACCCACGAGGCGAGCGAGATCACACTGCGGTTTTGTCATCCAGCTGTTGCGATAGCAGAGACAGAGCGCGGTCAGTTGAAGACCGTGGAGGTCTCGGGCGATGGAGAGCTGAACAACAGAAGCCAATTAAACTTTCATCCTACAGCAGCCTCAATGCACTCACCGACTGCTGATGCTCGGTGTTGGCGTCTGCGTGGGTCACGACCTTCAAATACTTCAACCTGGGTGTGAGGTCTTGCAAATGTGGGATAAGACGTGGACGGTATGTGCCGAATGAAAGCACCACGGGTGACGTGTGCCGAAGCATGTGGAGCACCATTTTCGAAGGTCCATCACTGAAATCGTCATCATGTATGAGGAGTCGGCGAACGCGAGAGAAGAGCACAAATGGGAAGTTAGACTCCAGCTCGTCCAAGGATGCCCAAAGAGGACGGGTGTCGTAGCCGCCACAACTGTCGGGTTTGAAACGTCGGACGTTGGGGAATGCGCGTGCGAGGTGATAGAGTGACCAACGCCCGCGATGGAGCCGAACACTCAGAGAGTGCACATGTGGCCAGACATTATTAATCCCAGGATTTAGACTCTGAATGGGGTTCCAATCAAGCGTCTCTAGACAGCCAGTGAGGTTCTCCAGGGCATGCCAGAAGGGCACTTCGTCGTCATGGGTAGAGAGGAAGACCTTGAGATAACGCGGGCGACTGATCATGTGTGTCAGCACTTCAAGGAATTTTGAGACCACTCGGAGGTACGAGATGCGCTCGGGGTTTAGAATGCCAGTCAACGATGGATGGAGAAAGTGCTCGTATTTAATACTCAATGACCTCAGAGATCCCGCACCACGAAGCACTTCGATAAATGCAGGGATGCATTCAGAGTATTCCTGGTTGTAATGCAGTGAAACTTCAAGGGCCTTTATGTAGAGCTTGCGAGATGGTTCTGCCACTACAAAAGAAGAGAATCCGATAAGCTGCCGCCAGCTCTTGATGGTCACAATGGAGAGGTACTGGCAGACAGCAGCATCGTACACATAACGACATGTTTGTGCCAATCGCCAGGCATCAGGTGAGGGTATGAAGGATATGATGATCTCGAGGACATCGTCATTCAACGATAAGAGCGACATCGTTTGCGCTGGGTTAGCAGATAAGTAGGGAATTTTCGAGAGCTACCACGTCACTTACGGATGTGTTTATCCAGCCGCGAAGATGAGAAAGTGCGTGAACTTGTGGAAGAGCACACCGTCGTCTATGGCAGCTAAATAAGTGGTCTAGATCTACTTGGTGTTGTACAATCGACGAGGTGCAGTTCAAAGGTCAGCAGGAACCCCTGAATACATACCCTAGGACTCGGATGTCGTTTCCGCATCCGGACAAAACTTTGAAGGTTTTCAGCTGGACTACACGGCCATCCCTTGGAGGGCTGGCAATCAGCTAAAACCGATAAGATGATGGGTGGTGCCAGAGGATGCTGCGGAAACGTCCGGATGACCTTAGCCAGAGAGTGACTACGCATATCCCGGGACCCTCTCGAGGCCTACCTCTGATGGGCAGGCGATCGAAAGGGTCTAGCTAAGCTGACCGTTCAGCACCACGCCAGCCAGCTCACGGATCTTGAATTCCGTGCAGCCGAACAACCGTTAACCGCCAAGCTTCGGGCTGTTGCAACCGTTTGTTCGGGTCGACTGGATTTGTGCTTGCCGAATTCACCCAGCCTAGGCCTGGCGGTGACTTCAAAACATACAGAAAAAATAATTTGCACCGAAATATATTTGTTGTCTCAAGTACACAATGTCTAACTACATAACAATGAAATACCCTCGCAACCGTGGATGCAAGATGTGCTGCAAATGTCAATGAAAAAAATATCTGAATCCTGGGCGGTAAGGCGTCAGTATACCGATCACACGAGTCATGCCGGCTGTGACGGCAGGGCATACCTTTCACAACCTCGCGCAGAGTGCAAACCGCCCCCTCAAAACATTCTGTCTGTCGAAGGCCAAGTCAGTTTGGTACCGCTGTGACCCAAAAAAAGAATGAACCGCAGTGCTGGCTCCTAAGCCGAAGCATCCCACTCACATCACCTCCAGCGGCACAATTTTCGCCGCGAACTTGCCCGCCGCCTGTGCCGCTGCCACCTTCTGGAACGTGTTTGTGAAAGGATGGCATTGAGCAAACAAATGATGTACTTACTAAGTTTATTGCCGCCGCCTTAGGGTGAAAAGTCGACGAGATTATGAATCAGCTCAATAGAACGTTGTGGGCTCGAAGGTAGGCTCGTTAACCAGCCTCTAGTATATAGGAAGAAAGCGTTGTTCCTCTATATAGAGGCTGCATCCTCGTATGACGGGCTTCTGAGAGGTCCCCCGTGGGAACTGCGGAGTTTGAACATGCCGACGGCAAAAACGCGCACAGAACTTTCAGGGCAAGCGAGACGCGTCGCGACGCGTATCTGAGCGTGCCCACGACACCCATATGCATACTTTTACTCATATATCCGCCATTATGCAACCCTCATCTGTTCGACAAAGTCCAGTAACAGACACCGAAACCACTGAGGAGCATCCTGAGGCCCCGACGGTGAGCCAACCACTTGAACACGGCGAAAACGTTACGAACAACACGTGCAACAACGAGTTGTCGACAGATATACAAAGCGAACCGGTAAGATACACATGATGCGGCTATACAATTTTTGAGTGTCTGCAGACTGACCGTGAATGAACAGGACACTGAGGACCAGCCACGAGATGTATTCGGTCCTCTCCTCGCACCGCAGCTCCAGCCATATGCTGCTAGCCCTCGCGGCGCATTATTAGCACATTCTACCCCTTATCTCCCGTATATACTGCCACCCCCGCTTCACTATGCATACCACGGAACGGCACAAGCACCATACTTCTCTGTACCATCAACCCCCTCCCACTTGAAGAGTTATCTCCCTTCACAATTTGTCACCATGGTCCCTCCGACAGCTATCCCTGATACCGCAATCAGAGGAACCCGAACTACTGTCAACGACATTGAAGACATTTTTATCAAGGACCTCTTCTCAGGCATTCCGATCTCCATTACAGGCCGAAGTGTCGCTGGGTGGTACAACTCTCTCCCGGTTAAGGAGCGCATTCTCCTTGCATTGCGCTGTCTAAAGAGACTCGGATTCTCGAGCATCGGGGAGTTTTTTGTTCAGCTCTTTACACCCGGCCACAATACACATCAAGAAGTGTATCAAACAATAGCTGCATTCTTGCGGAAGAGGAGCAGGCCTGGTACACACCCTATTGACATCCTCAGGCTCATATACAACCACAAGAAATCTGAGGTCTTCGAAGATGGTAGTGCCATTCCGGCTTCATTCGATTCTCTGCCTCCCTATGCGCGGTCCCCTTCCGCTCGCTTCTCTCCTTCAGTGGGTATGACTCATATATCTACGCGCGGAGATTTTCTTTCCTGGGCCCCGGAAACAATATTGGAAAGATTGGACAGCGAAGCAGAGCAGCTCCTCCAACACTCGAACGAGTTCTCCATTCATGGGAGCGCAAAGTGGGATGATCTCCTGAACTGAGACATGCATTCCATGCAGGTTCGAGTGTCAGAGCAGGTATGTAATAGATTCTACCGAATATTTAATCCTCTGACGTTATGATGTTAGGCTCCTGTGATGTTCGCCTTATTGTTGACCATTGCAGTTAATGATTGGACCAGAAAGAAGATTCAAGATTGTGTCGAGATTCGGTCACAGAGTGTTGATAGTGCGCAAGACGATGCAATGGCAGACATCTTCGAAATCTTGGAGCCAGAGGCAGACGAAAGTGAAGATGATGCTGCTGCCGATGAGACTTTGGCAATGTTGAAGATACGCAGAGACCCGTGGTTGGTATGTACACTGGTTTTCATACTGAGTTCGTCGTACTAAGACTCATCAACCACAGGGCATTATGGTCTCAATGTTTATGCTCTTGCACTTTCGGTATCAATATGCGACATGGTTCCCAACCGTCATCGGAATCATCTTATTCTTATGTAACACACCAGGACATGTGTTCCGCATTTTAAGCCGTTTCGGTCTTTTGATCTCTTATCATGCAGTTTTGGAACATCTTCACCAGCTAGGTGCAGACTCGAGTGAGCGCATAAAAAGCTGGGGTAGGAGGGTTAAGACAAAGGCCCCCAATTTTCTCATTCTGTACGACAACGTGAACAAGATGAGCCGTGCATGGCAAAAGATGTTGGCACACTCGGTATGTTCATATGAAATCACCCAAGTCAGTCAGACTCATTAGTCATTACTCCAGGACGAAGTCCACAGTGGTACTGCCGCAACTCTCATTAAGCTGGAGGATGTTCCTATGGGAGCTTTGGACTTAGATCCACTGCTTAGTAACCTGTTGAAGAAGGAACGCCTCAAGATAACACTGAAGGACCTCCTTGATGATATCGACTGGGCACATATTCGTGGTGTTGGTGCAGGCCATGTACTACGAATCTGGTTGAAGTACATTCCCATCCTGTCCCCTCGCCGTGATGCTGTGGTGAAGCTATTCACTGAGTCGCACAAAAAGCGACTGCTACGCCTTCGCAAGAGTGAAATAGAGTCACTCCGGTGCTCTAATATCGATGAATCAATGACCGTCGGCACTTTCCTTCTTATTCGCACACGAACCAAGCCCCGTGTCTTCTTTCCCATGATTATCTTGCTAATGCGCTCGCTCTGCAGCATCCATGGCATAATGACGGCCACACGTATGTCGTTACCTTCACATAGCTCATTGAAGAGGTCTCTTCCTTCATAGTAGGCATCCCTGATGAAGTCTTCATTAATTGCAAGTGCCCGGATCCTGAAAGCTATAAAGACTGCAGCCTGATGCCTTTGCAGTGAGAAGTAGGAGCCGAAACTCAGATATAACTCTTAATACCTGCTGTTCGGTCAGAATCTTAGTCGGTACAACCAGAAGAGCAATCTCAGAACATCCGTGGCTCTGAGCAGCTAGAAGTGGTGCGCATATAATGAGTATTTTGCCAGAGCCTGGAGCAATGACAAGGAATAGGTCGTTGCCGGCAATAAGATTGAGTGCGTGGTCTAACTGCCAGGGCCATACATGTGACAGGCCACATTTTTCTTGAATGAGAGTAGCCAGCCATCCCCGTGAGTCGGGTGGGTCATCATTCATAGCCAGGAGGGATAAGTTACAGATCAAGAGGTGTCTACTTGCCAGGACAGACACGTCGTCACGCTGCTCACCACGCCGCGGTCACATGACCGTGCTATACCGTTGGGCCGATGTCAATATTCAAACTCAATGATTCCCACGGGGGACCTCTCAGAGGCCTCTCACATGAGGTTCGAGACTAGCTCGAAGGAAGAGGTGGTCGGAACATGAGCTGGCACCTTCGAGAAGATATATTTATGACTTTACAACTCCGCTCGGTTCTCACTCCAGGTGAGCACGGCATGGTCGGCTGTGGATGCAGTCAAAGCAAGCCTTAAGTCAAATCTTCTCTTGGGTGGTCCATCAGCTAAGTCAGTTCAGGTCCTTTTGAGACCATAGCTGCCAATGTCTACTCATTTGAAACAAGTACACAATATAATTCTTCTATCTAAAGTGAGAAGCATCCCCTAATGAGCCTTAGATAACCTCCCAATTTTGAGAGGTGGCGGAGACCTGGCTCGTGTCGCTTTTTGTAAGGGGCGGCAGGATGTCTCCATAAGTCAAACACCGATCAGGCCATCCTCAGGTGTGGGATAAGCCACCAGCCAGGCTTTCCATCAGCTCAGATCACGCCGGCGCTCCAGGTAGGTGGATCAGCCCAGGTAGGGTTGGGCGTGTAGGGACCAGCATGGATAGCAGTCAACTGGATGAACGATCCGTGGATGGGCTTGGCATGAATATGGATATGGATGCAGATGTTTTCAGGACCCCGGCATATGCTGCAACATGTCCGATCCAGGTGCGAGTACATCAGGAAAACCCAACTTTTACTTATGACACTTATTCCGACTTTTTGTCCTTTTTTGCCTTATTCAAGGCCCATCAGTTCCCAAAAGTCGACTTTTAAGTCTCTAAGGAAATATGACTTATGGACTTTTTGTCCTTTTTTTTTACCTCATTTGAGGCCCATAAGTGCATTTAAGTCACATAAGGACACCTTTAAGTAAAAGTTGGGTTTTTCTGATGCTAGAAGTGACCTCCAAATTCGGCCAACATCTGAGACTAAGTGCGGGTAGAACAGGCCAAATCCTGGCACTCCACCTGATCCACTGTGCAGACATAGTTGAACCGTCACCAGCATGTCTGATCCGGTAGTGCGGACATTTTTGGATGGCTAGGGACAACCTCTAAGTGCCCTCTCCGAGTAAGTGAATTCCCATATCCTTAACAAGCATTACGCATCGCATTCTGACCGGAATCCTCAAATTCATGCTTCGCATCTGCTGACGATCTCACGCAATGAACTTGAAACATCGGATGGCCATTCACTTGAAGTTGTCACACTCTGCATGTTTTCTGCTCCGCTCATGAAAAAACTGCAGAGCCAGCTTGAAAACATTGCTAATGCCATTGGTAATCTATCAAAACTATTGCGGGGCAAGGAGTTGAACACCGCGATGGTTGATTCAGAAGTGGAGAGCAAAGAGGAAGATGGAAATGATGATGTACATGAGACGGAAGCTGCCCATGAAGAGTCAAGATAGTGTCGATAGGTTCAGCAATGCGTAGCATGTTCTGCGTGTCCTGGGCGATTTTTGCAATTTGTTTGTAACTTTTGGCCATTTTTTAAAGGTTATATCACAGGATGCATAACTCCTTTTTTCCTGAGGAAATAACTTGGAAAAATGCGTGGAAATCAACAAAGTTATACTGCGGGAAAAACATGAGGAAAAAACGTGTAGAAGAACAAAGCATTTCCGCAGTTTTTTCACTGGAAATAAGTTGGTCACCAAATATGATAATTTTGTCCGGGTTTTGGCATGTCCTGTCATGTCCTGTCATGTCCAGTTGCTTGATATGGTAGGCAACTTATTTTCAAGGGAAAAAACTGTGAGAATGTTTTGTTCTTTTCTCACTTTTTTCTCGAGGTTTTTCTTCTGAAAATATATTATTGATTTCCATGCTTTTTTCCAGGTTATTTCCAATGGATAAAAGTGGTAATGCTTCCTGTGTATCGGCCATGCAGGTATAAATGGACCAAATTTGGCTAACTCGATCCATTGTGCAGGTATTTGGGCCCAAATGGTGTGCGGACATAAGGGCCAAAATTCAGGGATTTTGAATCAGACATATTGGAGTATATGCCAGGGTCCTATGTTTTCTCATGGATAGGTCAGTTAGATGGATTAATCCATTGTTTTTTGCACTTAAGTCTTGTTACTCTCCACCGCTCTCATTACTAGTCTCCATTCATTCATTTCTTTTGCTATTTTATTTTGAATGCTTAATCCTTTAGTAGCAAATAATACTCTCCTTACCCCTATCATTGCCTCCTCTGAAAGCTCTTCCCTGGTTCTGTTGGAAAGTCTACCAGCAGTCAGTGCAGGCCCATTTAGCGAAAACACTCCACCAGTACTAGTGCCCGCAGTCCTAGTGTCACCTATTGTTAAGCAAAGATGAAAGCGGGAGGGAATTTATGACAAAAGTGATGCAGCTGTGCATTAGGAAAATCCAACTTTTACTTATGACACTTATTGCGACTTTTTGTCCTTTTTTACCTTATTTACAGCCATTTGTGGAATATAGGGTGTGAGCTTAAAATTTCTATTTTTGGTCACATTTTCTATTGTACACTGTATCCGCTATAGCTCTCTTAATACCTATTCGATTCCTTTGAAAATTAGTGTAATAGAACGGGATTGTGAATATGCAGGGGATAACCTGATTAGATTTTCAAAAAGTGTAAATTGAGCATATCTTGAAATACTGAGCCCATTTGCACAGTATTTCTGAGTTTCTGAGACAAACATGCCACACCTATCTAATGGGTGATCACTACATTATGTCAGGGTTAATACCTATAGGACCACCACTTTATTTTGTGTGTATTCAAGCTGTGTTCAATTGTCCCACTACATCCACTGTACAGCAGTTCCGGAGTCCTCCTGTCAGAGCACGCGACAATGGTTATCTCAGTGTCATCGCAGCTGTGCTACTCTCGCACATCTGTTTCATTCGTTCGGACTGTCTCCATTCTGTACTTCTATGCACTAGCTTCTGCGTATTAGCTTCTTCACATGATGCCTCATCTCAGGGCAAGGGTTCCAGTATGGCAACATTTCTCGAAGGATCTCAAAAGGCGGGTTATCTATCAAGCCTACACACTGGGATACACATTAACGCAGATTGCCATCTCCCTTGACATGCCAGTCTGTGTCATCCAATGCATTCAGAGACTTTGGAGTCAGATTGGAGAAGTTTTTCAGGACAGAACTGGGTTGGGCAAGTCATATATGCTGTCTTCACAGGCCGTGGAGGTGAGCAAACTTCGAACCAATATGCTTGGCCTGTTTAGACAGCTCTGATGACATAAATCAGTTCATGATAGCTCTGCTCGACAACTCACCAGATATTTACCTAAATGAGATACAGGAGGAACTTCAGGCACAGCACGACATTGAGCCCATTCAGCCAATATATACCTAAACTTCCATATAACTGAGGTGGAACATTTTGTGTAAATTTCCATAAAACTGAGTGTTGGCCAAGAATATAATATAGGATGGAGATATAGGGTTGGCCAAGACAATTAGGCTATATAGGCTGAGTGTAACGTGCTGCTGTTGTATTGCAGGGCACAAGTACCAAGCGGTACTTGTGCCCTAATATTATCTAATCTCATTATGTATTACATAATTGTTGTGTACTGTTTGTACACGCTCTGCGTGTATCGAGCATGCGTCGGTGTGTTGAAGTCAGAGACTTAACACACCACGACCTTGATACACGCACGACGCTCCAGAATAGAGCTTGGTGCACTGTATCTGAGGTTCGGTGTGATAAGGCCTTGCCCCCCCATTATACTTTTTTACAGTCCATTTCGCTCTGCGAAAAATTCTATTCGACAGCGAAGACCCCCATCAAGAAATCAAGAAGCTTAACTTGCCACCCAATGGCAAGTCAAGGCCCCAAAAACACACGAATAACACGCTCCCAGTCAAGACAGGCAGAGCACGTGGCTCTGGCAGACGTGGCCGAGAGTGCACCCAATGATGGCATGCATGCGGACACTGGCACGCCAGCCCCAGAAATAACGGACCGTGGGCAAGAACTAGCATCATCAGCCTCACGATCCCCTACACTGTCGTACGTCGAACCCCCCCGCTCAACACGAGGAGGCCGAACGGACGAGCAGCGGCGGGAACCCGCCTCTGGCCATAACGTCAGAACACCGGTGAGATCCACTGGATCTCATCAGGCCAGTGAAGAAATGGAAACAACGAGAATGGGAAGGACGCCACGACATCCTTCGCATTACTCGCAGAGATTTCCATCCCCGGCCCTACCAGCGCAACCGACCTCTTCCTTAGCGGACGAATTATGTCGTGCTAAGGATAGAGCCCCAGGAAGCACTGCAAGCATGAGTTCGTCTGAATGCGTGCGCAGAGAGAGAGCCCGAGAGACACTTCAGCGGGCTCAAGAAGAAGCGAACCGCGAGCTCGACGAACTACAAGAAAAACAAGAACGCGAGATGCAGGCCATTCGTGAGGCATATGAACGGACCCGCCACGCGCAGAATGAGTGGTTTGAAAAAATAATGGACGAACTCGAAAATTCCTCAGGAGATGAAATTGACCCAGTGGACTAACCCATCCCCTCGGGAACGAGGAACTCCATCAATGAAATAGCGGTAGAACGAGGATTATACCCCTCAGAGGTTGAGGACCCGACAGCTGATGCTCCCGATATAGTTATCGAGAGCGCGTACCGTTGGTTGGCCCGACCACAGCAAGAGGGAGAGCTGGACGAGGAATACAATCAAAGGGTGTTAATATACACCAGATACTTGGACCGGATGGCCTCAGAGTCCGAAAGGGCATTAAGGGCATTCAGAGTACAACCACCGGTATCATCGACACCTCGCGCGACGTGGGATCACTCCAATCTGGAACAGCTCCAGTAGCAGCTCCTGAAGGCAACCCCAGAAGTGATGATTCAAACGACTCCAGTCCATACCCCGGAGATGACGGGAATAACTCCGACCATTTCAGAAGAAATGGTCGAAGGCCCGCAATGCCACCTCAGGAACACCAACCTGGAGGACAACGGCTACCGCGATCCAATGGATTGACTCTGCCACCACTGCCTCCTTGACCAACGTGACCTGCAGGACCTGGATACCCCCGTGGGCTGCAAGGGCAGCCCATAGTGGGAACGAACACACGATCTGCAGGACCGACATACGGTCCTGCAGTGAATGCAATGACGACTACGCAACAGCCCAACGTTACTCGGAACGTAACATTCTAATCGGGAGTGACACAGCCAAACCTGGCAGTCCCTACCGCAGTGAACCGACCCCCTTGATTCCCGGGAGTGAGTACAACAGCCGCACCAGGTACGCACACAGGCCATGCGACCGTACAACGATCGCATGGCCCAGGAGCGATACCTCCGGATATGTCTCCTGCAATCCAGAGGATTCATACAATGGTGGACGAGATGGTATCAAGAGATCCCATCGACGAACCACCAGCGTACCTTAGAGTCACCAAGATGCCTCCACTGCCGCAATATGATGGGAAGGACGATCTTGATGCATTCGAGGTCTGGCTACAGAAATTGCTGGAATACTTTAAGACTCTCCGCATCACTGGCAATGCCATGGATGCGGATCACCTATGGATATTGGGGCAAAGTCTTACAGATGATGCCGCCAACTGGTTCTTTCTAAACGTGCAGTCACTGAACCGCGAAGTACGGCAGTGGTACTTCGAGGGTGCAGTGATGCACCTCCACCGACGATTCCTGCACAAGGACTCGGAGCTGATAGCATCCGAGAAGTACGACAAGGTGATGTACAGCTTATCACGCGGAGGCATGAGCGAGCTATACGACAGGCTATTACACCATGCAGATCGCATGGTGCAATACCCAATGGAATATGCATTCCGGAAGAGGTTTATGGACACATTACCGCTACCGATGGTAGAAGTAATGTGTCTAGCCCACCTACTATCACCTGAGAAACACACCATCGATGCACTGTATCGATCGGCTTTGGCGATCGAACAGGGCAACGGATGGCTGGACCAATACCGTACATACAAGGACCGCCGACAGCCTCAGAAGACCGGGGACCATACGGGGACCCAGAGTTCAAGTAAGGCCGTGTCATTCCTCGCGCCGATGATATCATCGATGGGAGATACATGACCTAGCTACTGCCCGCAAGGACAAGGACGAGGAGGGGCACACCCAGGACATGCATGGCAGGCTGGTAATGCTGGCCGTAGAATGACGAACCCACGCGACGGATCATGGGGGCGGTCGTCCTACTACAAACCCGGCAGTCTCGGGATTGAGACCACCAGCGAATAACAAGGCGATGAATGCAAACGTCACTTGTTATTCCTGCGGCGGCAAGGGCCACTTCTCGACAGACCCGACATGCCTGAACTACGGTAAACCGCGGCCAGCGCGACTACACGCACAACGTGTAGTCAATGACCACTCCGAGGATGAGGAACAAGCAAACCAAGAACCGGCAGAACCGGAGGCTACAGTTCAGGAGCCGGCTCCACAGGAGATGACCCCCGAAACTGACGAAAATGAAGGGCCCTACCAGAATGACACAGGATACCAGACATATCCTGAGTCGGATTGGGCCCCAGAGGGATCACAGTACTCATCGGCAGATGAGCGTGAACCCCCATCTGGAGATGATGGCTGGAATGATGACTACGACGTTCACCTGGGATCAATGAGATTCGGCGTCATGTGTCAACACAAGCCTGGAAAGTGTACGCAGACTGTACACCTCCACGCTAGCGAACACGCAACAGACGCACGAGCCTCGAGGAATGCATGGCTGTACGACTCACGCGTACGACACCTGACCGATTCAGCCATGCAGCCTCAGAGAAACCCACAGACACAATGAACACTATGTGCAGAGGTCCTGATCAATGGGATCAAGACCTATACACTATTCGACTCGGGGTGCACAACGGACTCCATTTCTCCGAAAATGGCGTACATCTCGAAGGCGGACTGAATCGACCTGGACGACCAAACAGGTCTCCAACTGGGCACCAAGGGAAGTAGGACGCGCATCAATTATGGTGCACGACCCACAATCTCCATAGGCCCAGTAAAGGCACAACACTACCTAGACGTCGTCGATATCGATAGATATGACGCTGTACTAGGCACAGTGTTCATGCATAAATATGGTGTGGTCCTCGACTTCGAGAACCGCACCATATCGATCCAACGGCAAAAAATACCAACCTACACAGAAGTGGACGAGGCCACAATCATTGCGAATTGCAAGGATATGTCGCACTCACAATACCACATGCACAACAATGTCGGTACCGTTACCGCCATCACCTCGGACAACCCGCAATAGGACCCCGCAACGAGACCAATGGCCGCAAAGCCACCCCAGTCTCATGGTGTGAAACCGGGGACAGTCCTAAGAGGGGAGGGGAATGATGGAAATGTCAAGGTGAAAGAAAAATCAACCACGAGAAACAGGAAACAGCCCAAAAAGGACTGTTTCCCTGACATCTCGGAGAAGTTCGCACCGACTAGACACTCGATGGACAAACTAAGATGGGACCAGTTCGGTCAGCCAAACCCATTAGGTCTAAATGACTTAATGGCGTTCGAACTGAATGAACATCGTAAAAACGAAGAAATTCGCGCCACGCTTGTAGAACCATCAGATGCAACAGCGTCTGAGGAGAAACTACAAGAATGCCGAAAAGCCTGGATGGAGAAGACAAAGGACATAATGTGTCCCCCACCCCCAATCCTTCCACCGTTCCATGAGATCAACCATCGAATACCGCTCATCAATGACAATGAGCAGTATCGACTGTGATTACCAAGATGTGCCGACACAATGAAGCCATTGCTCCTAATGAAAATCCAATGATACCAGGATGCTGGCTGGTGGGAGTCCAAGCAGGCTCCCCAGGCAGTGCCCATGATATGCATTATGAAGAAGAGTGGAAAATTACGGACAGTTGTCGATGCGCGTAAACGCAATGACAACACCGTAAAGGACGTAACTCCATTCCCGGACCAGGACCAGATACGCATGGACGTGTCTCATGCCAAATACTGGTCGAAGATTGACTTGTCCGATGCGTATGAACAAATATGGGTGGCAGCAGAGGACGTCTGGAAAACAGCGTTCTCCACCTCATATGGTACATTCGTAAGTCACGTCATGCAACAAGGCGATTGCAATGCCCCAGCGACATTCCAAAGCCTCAGGACATTGATATTCCATGACTGCATCGGACGATATGTTCATGTATACCTCGATGACATATTCGTGTTCTCTGATACAATCGAAGAGCACGAACACCACCTGGAAATTGTATTCTGTAAGCTGAGGGAGGCAAAGCTCTACCTTAGCGAGACGAAGTGCGAACTATATTCACGGAGCATGGACTGCCTAGGTCATCTAATCGATGACCAAGGACTCTACGCAGACTCAGACAAGATGAGCCGTATTCGTGAATGGCGAATACCCCGATCTTACAAAGAAGTACAACGCTTCCTAGGGCTCGTGAACTACCTAGGACACTTCATGCCCAACGTAACGGCGTACACCTCGCCATTGTCGGACATGGCTCACAATGACCGAGCATTCGTGTGGTGCCCAATGCACACCAAATGCTTTGAAATGATCAAAGCTTTGGCGTGCAAGGCACCCATCCTGAAGCCAATTGACCCACGTCAACCAGAACCCATCTGGGTGATATCTGATGCATCGCTATACGGTGTTGGAGTGATGTATGGACAGGGACCAGACTGGCGAACCTGTCGCCCAGCTGGCTTCCTGTCGAAGAAATTCACGAGTGTGCAACGTGCTTATAAGACCTATGAGCACGAGGCACTCACGATACTGGAAGCTCTCCTCAAATGGGAGAACAAACTACTTGGCCGACCGATAGTGATCGCAACCGACCACCAGGCATTGAAGTATTTCGAAGGCGTAACCAATCCAACGAATTGACAGATTCGTTGGAATGAGTACATGTCTCGATTCCAATACAAAATCCAGTACATAGAAGGCGCGACCAATAAGGTCGCGGACTGTCTATCTAGGTACTATGAGAACGACAATGCGGATGAATTCGCACCCATCCAGGACTATGCAAATGCAGACGCTCATCTAGACCCTGAGTGGGATGACCTACCATCCAACCATATTGCTGAGCTGTGCACCGGAACAATCCAGTGCTCAGCACAGCTGCCCAAGGAGGTGCAGGAGTCAAGGGATCAGGAGGCCAGCGAAATGGCCTCCCACCTGCCCCTAGTAATGCCAACCACAGGCGCAAAGGACGAGGATCCGACGATTGCTGAGTCATGCACCAACGGACCTCCACTGAAGGCCCGCTTGGAACAGGATACCCCGTTCCTGGCCGCAGTCCAAAAGGGCTATGGCGAGGACCCATTATTTAGGAAGGTCGTTGAATCCCCTATGGAATTCAGCACCTTCGTAATCCGGGACAAGACAATATACACAAAAAACTGCCAGGATGAAGAAGTTATCTGCATCCCGAGGGTTCTGTACCATCATCGAATGATGACCGAGATCATCATCGATAGAGGGCACACGACCATAGGACACTACGGCCCACAGAAGACGTCGGAATACATCCGACAGTGGTTCTGGTGGCCTAGGATCGGACGTGATATCGAAAAATTCTGCGTGACGTGTGGGGCCTGCCAAACGGCAAAGCCTCGCAATCACCTGCAAGCAGGATTACTTCATTCCGTGCTGATTCCATGGTTTCCGTGGAATTCGATAGCAATGGACTTCGTCGGTCCGTTTCCGCGATCAAAGGGATATGACTACCTATGGGTAGTCATATGTCGCCTTACATCAATGGTACATCTGGTCCCCGTGAATATGACGAGCACGGCCTCGGACATAGCTGAGCTCTATGTCCGAGAAATTGTGCGACTACATGGGATGCCCAAGTCCATCGTCTCGGACTGGGACTTGAAGTTCACGTCGAAATTTTGGCGTGAACTACATCGATTCCTGGGTGCGAAGCTACTCATGTCGACGTCATTCCATCCGCAAACCGACGGGCTGTCCGAGCGGACCATCCAATCGGTATCCCAAATCCTACGGTCCATCGTGTCTCCCAATTAATTAGATTGGATAGACCAGATCCCGATGGTTGAGTTCGTGTTGAACTCAGCCACGAGCGCAACCACAGGATTTGCCCCATTCGAACTTAATTATGGATACTTGCCGCGAATGATTGGAGGCCTGCACGGAACCACGAAATTCGTGGGCATGCAGGAATTTGCCCAACGAGCATTGGCCAACCTCGAGATGGTGCATGATGCCATCATCGAGAGCTGTACACACCAAACGTTCCAAGCCAATAAACTACAGCAGAAGGAGCCGGAGTTTATGACTGGATCGAAGGTGTATCTATCCACGCAGAACCTCGCACTACCTAAGGGTCGTGCGAGGAAGCTGATGCCCAAATTTATTGGACCATACGAGATCACCGACGTTCATGCGGCAACCTCTAACTACACATTAGAATTTCTGCAAGAACTGAAGGACCGGCGTATCCTACCTATATTCCACGTTTCGCTACTCCGATGACACGAGTCCAATGACGACGTGTTGTTTCCGCACCGTGAGGCAAAGTCGTACTACGACTTTGGCGAGGATGCGGAAATGGAATGGCTAGTGGATGAAATTGTAGGCCATCGCTGAGATGGCAATAAAATCGAATTCCATGTGCGATGGACGCTAGGCGACCATACATGGGAGCCATACGCCCACTGCAAGGAATTGGCCGCGCTCAACGAGTACTTCACACTAATGGGTGTGAAGGACTGGAGAGCGCTGCCATGTAAGGCCGCGCCACCTGTGAAATGAAAGAAAAAATAACCATAAATGGAGGACCGGATGCGTATAACATCAAAGGATGTACACGTCATGTCCACGTGACAGATCATGTGAGATGCTGGCACTTGCTCGTGTAACTACACGTGTGGCAAGGCCACCACTCCCACACTCCTACCACCATGTCCCAACCAACCCTGCCTATGGAAACCGATGATGACGAGGCGACAACAAGCCGCCCCGCCACACAACAGCAAGGCCGACCAAGGTCGACATCCCCGCAGCTCCAATTCAGAACCGCGGTGATGCCACAGGCCCTACAGCAACCACCACCACCACCGATCGCGATACGATCAATGGCGGCCCCAGCGATCGCAACTACATTGACGACCACAGCACCCACGGGTGCTGGGAATGCAGCAGTGATGCTGCCACCACCGCCGATCCTGACAGTGATGGAATGGTGGGTCTCTTTTGGGACCCACCAGTTCACGCTATACCACACAGAGGTGTGCACTGTGTGCTACAGCTACCTCCAACATATTGCAATGGCACGCAACACGGCCCTCTATCAGGAAGCCCACACAGATGCGCTCAATGCTGAGCAGCACCTGTTCTGGGAGCACTTCCAGACCTACACGGCCTCAGAAGGGGGAGGACATGGTGATGTTCCCATGCAGCAACACAACACGAAGCTGCAAGCGCAACTCCATGCGGCGGAAACAGAAGCAACCACACAGCGACGACAGATCGACGACCTACTAAGGGAGCGTGAACACCTCCTCAGGCAGATCGTGTCAAGTTCCCGACCTCGATCGCCCCCGGACTATTGCGGGTGACCGAGCGGGGCTCCATGGAGACAACCATCTCCACTGGAATACCTACCTCCCCCGAGGGAGCGAAGGTATTCCCCCCCATCAACGAACAGCAGCTCGCGCCGGTACTCACCACCATCGAATGTGAGCGGATCGCGATGTCGATCCCCAGCGTGATACTTGACCGGGGGAGCACAGCGATACGTGCTCTACGCCGCGGCGAGTAGGCCGAGCTCAGCCACACACCACACCCCAAGAATGCCCCCACCACTGAGACACATGCCCCCAGGGCCACCACCAAGGAGTGGTGCCCCTGGACCGCCGACCGGTCCTACATCGGGACCGCTGGCTGGCTATGTTCTGCGACCCCCAGTTGGTCCCGCTCCTGCCCCTGTAAAGTCACGTGCGCAGCAGGCCTATGAGCACATTGACAATGACGAGTCGGAGTCGGAGCCGTCCACAGATGGTGATAACGAGCCCAACAACGTCGAGGTCCAGCGGCTCAACAAACAGCGCCAGAGGAACCGCGGCCCAATGAACCTGCCCAGGCAAGGAGCATCGAGGAGCAACGACAAAGGGAAGACAGTGCCGCGGCCATCAGACACCGATAACGATGTCTCGCTGGCCCCGCACAACTGGCCCGATTTGTTCCCTCTCCCGGTCAACACACAACCGTGGAAGGCGACCGAGTGATACAACTTTGTACCCCGGTACGTCCACGACTCGCAGTGCATCATCGATGTGGCACACGATGGCGACGATGGCGCGCACACCCAGGTGACCGACCTCATCCGGCAGATGCAGCAAGATGGACACTTGACTGCATCCCACGGCATGATGAACCTACTCATGTCGTGGTGACATCATGGCAGCTCCGGAGTGATTCACCCGCTGATGGTTCCCCCTCCTCGTCGGATGACCAACCCCACCAGCTCGTCGACATTCGACGAGTGGGTGGCGTGGTATGCACAGAACCCGAGACAGGTTCACTGGGCCATCAGGCACTTGAACAATAATCGCTCGGAGGCCCCACTACACCAGGACCTGGAGGCGATGTGGCTTGCACGTCGCATGGCCCCCATCATTCCACTAGGTGTACCAGCGATGGCCCGCAATGTGTTCATTGAGCACACTGCGGAGCTGTTCTCCATCTCCGAGCTGTATGCATGGATTGTACAGGTCAGACATTACCCCGTGGCAAACAACAACGAGCCGGCCCCGTTTCCCCGCTCATTCGCCCAAAACTCGTCCATATATGATGTTGCACGATGGTATGCTGCCCGCGGGTTCCATCCCATGCAGATTGGATTCCTCGAGGAGTTCCACCGTCGACACCGCAACTACATCCTCGGACGGGTTCTCGAAGACGTGACCCCATTCGAGGGACACTTCTCAGCGGACCTTCGTGATGGATGCGCTCAGCCGATACCCCCGACCCACGAGTTGTTATCACTTGTCGACAAGGACGTGGCGATGCAGCCGCCAGACCCCGAATCACCCACACCCGGCGCTGGCAACGCCCCTGCTGACAGCAGTCAGCTGGGCCCCAACCCCGGAGTGACCCCCAAGGCTGGTGATCCTGACCATGACATGGGTGGCCACTAGCTCACGCTGGCGTGCCCCCCATTGACGTGCCACTGTGGGCCACGGCTGGGGATGTGATGCGTACCCTCCGTGTGCCCGCAACCCACCTGTGTGTTCTGGCCGTGTCTGTTGTCGCCTTTGCCCGTCGCCTTGCCTCGTCCTACCGTACCGCCTCGCATTGCCGCCTGCGTCATCCATTCGATGGCGCAGTCAGTGCTATGGTCCCGTGGAACGTGTCCAGTGGGGGAGGGTGTAACGTGCTGCTGTTGTATTGCAGGGCACAAGTACCAAGTGGTACTTGTGCCCTAATCTTATCTAATCTCATCATATATTACATAATTGTTGTGTACTATTTGTATGCACTCTGCGTGTATCGAGTGCTCGTCGGTGTGTTGAAGTCAGAGACTTAACACACCACGACCTTGATACACGCATGACGCTCCAGAATAGAGCTTGGTGCACTGTATCTGAGGTTCGGTGTGATAAGGCCTCGCCCTCCCCCATTATACTGAGTCGCATATTTGGGAGTTAGCCAAGAGAGGCGCAATTTGAAGTCTATATAGGTTGTCGGGCATTTTGGGGTCAGCCGCCATGTCTCTATATATATTATAGCTGAAATCGTGCCATTGGCCAAGAGTCATAAAATTCCAATCCTATATAGAGTTTGCAAACAGTTGGGCTTGGCCAAGTGGACCTATATAGAATCTTTGTGTAAATGGTCCACTTGGCCAAGGCACATGAAATTTCGATCCTATATAGCATCTCCTGAAATTTGGCCATGGCCAAGGGTCGAGAAATTTGCATTCTATATAGGATTGTTTGAAATTTGGCCTCGGCTAAAAAGATCCTATATAGTTCCTTGTGGAAATGGTGGCCTTGGCCGAGCGTCCTGGAATTTCTGTTCTATATAAGGTCTGCTGAACTTTGGCATTGGCCAAGGATGCCCTATATAGTGTTTGTGAAAATGGTGGCCTCAGCCGATGATTTAGAAATTTTCATTCTATAGAGAGTTTTCCACACTCTGGCCATGGCTGTATAACTTTCTACACAAATGGTGCTCCAGGCTAAGGCATCCAAACTTAAAGGTCTTGCTGACACCATGCTTCTTTAAGGTCCCGGAGGATACACTCGTCCAAATCTACATAGCCAGTCACACACATTTATTGGCTAATTTTGCATATCTACCTTTGCAACTCGCAGACTACCTGACAATCATTTGACCATTGAATGCCTGCTGTGATTGAAGTGCAAAGTCCTTCCACATTGCACCTTGCTTTGCTGCATAGGATGCATGACCACGTAGACCTGCATTCACTGCCTCCATCTCCCTGGTCTGTCACTCATGCTGCTTGCATTCAAACCACAGGACAGTCCATAACATCTCATGTCGCACCTTCGGTACCTCCTTCTTGTACCTTGTGTATCGTGCCTTTGCTCTCAGCCAGTTAACTCAATCAACTGACATGGTGATTACCATCTGTGAATAAGTTTGACCAGGCATAAACAGATAGTCACTCACCCTCCTTCATGGCATTTTGACCGACGTCTTCCATATTATTGTTCACACTTTCCCCCCATGCATTTCGAGCATTCTCACCTCCAAGTTTCCAAAACCATGCCAATCTATCATTCCTCTGCCCAACTCTATTCTGCTCCACAATATCTCCAGGCATCTTCGTGTCTTCCTTTTGAATGTCAAGATATCATGTCAACAACTGTTCACTTGCTCCTAAACAGATCAGAGCTTTCCTAGCACGCTTGTATCGTCTAATGATTTTGCGCTCTTGCTGACCAATCTTCCTGAGCTCAGCTGCATTTCGGGTTTTGTGCCATTGAGACTTATTGTGCCTGAATTTGGTCCAAAAGCAAAGACTTGTGACCTAACAAGAGTCACAAGTCTTCAAGACAGTCATTGGCTTGGCCAACCCGTAGCTGTAACTCCTGCTGTGCAATGCTCTCCCATCCCACCATCTTGCATTGCTCAATGCCAAGTGAGGAGGGAAGCAGGAGAGTGATGTTCTCTGGCAACACCTCCTCTTCAATATCTTCTGGGTTCTCCTTCACATCCTCCATGGTCCAACCCTCTTCATCTGCCACCTCATTAGAGGAGATTTCTAAGTGCTCAATGTTTTCACCATCTAATAGCGCCATTGCGCGATTGTGAAATCCATCAATTCTTTTCTGCAGCAAATTTCACTTCGTCTCCACCAAATTCTTGTCTGTGGTGGAGCTTCGCTTGGTGAGGTGTTTTGCCATTACTTGTATGTCATTTCTGAAGCACAGACTGAGCAAAGAGATGAAAGTGAATGTCAACTGGCTCACTGTGTCTTTTCGATATTTATTCCAGTGCTTAACCAGGTTACTGTTCCACTTTCCTGGACTCTATTCTCCTCATTGGGTGACTGTCTTTCTTCTGTCGTGAGCAGAAGGCGAATATCACCCATAGATGGAGCTATGGCTCAGTTTGCTCAATCAGACGAAATCTGGCTTGGAGAATGCACATACCCTTCTCCAAGTTGACATTGTATATGTTCAACTTATCACCACGCTCTCGCATAGCCACGGTCTCCTGCTCAGTCCACACTTTGATATCGTCCTCGGTCATCGTGGTTGAGAGATCAACAAACTCTTGCTCCATTTCAGATTCACCTTTGACAGCCTTGGAATACTTGGTTCGGAGCATGTTCACTGAAGTACTGTTAACCCTCATCAGCGCAACAGCAAAAGAACAGTGCCCACCAATGCCCAGCAGCTTCATCCAGTTTCAGTCTCGAAAATGATCATCCAGAACCTCTCATCGGTGTGCCTTGGTCATTGCACGTGTTGAAGGACCTGTGCCATTCATTTTGGACCACAGCATCTCCACAACCTCACCCTCAATCTCACCCATGTCTTTTCTGAAGTTTAAGGAGAACTTGGCAAAACACTCTGCAATGTGGGCCCCAAGGTGGAACTTCCCCACATAGGCAATGATCTTTATCTTGTCTGCAACCTTCAGATATTTGCTATCCGCAACGCGCTCCAGAAAGTGAATTCACCACTGACATGCGACATCGTAGCACACATCCATGAACTGGAGCTCTTCAGTGTTATATAGAAGGGCCTGGCAGATGGAGTAGTCTATGTTCATCTGTCTGACAGTCATGCAGAGATGGAATGTTTGGCAAAGGAGATGTGATCGGTTGGAATACGCTTACCTCTCTCCTTTTTGGAAGTCAACCACTGAATGGTGTATGACACACCCATGGTGAGCACAGACACATGCTCCAACACCTGTGGCCTCCAGATTATGGCGATTAGCATTGGCCTAATTCACAGCACGGTGATTTGCACATCTAGATTTCTGCAGATATCTCCCAGAGCTCAATTTCAGTTCCAACTCATCTTATTGCATGCACCTCAATAGTTTCTTTACTGCACTTCAAATGATCTTGATACTCCACATCATCAACCATGAATCCTTGACCATTAGTCAGAGGCACATCATTCTCAGGCTGACGCATCTTCATATGCTCCAAGGTGAAGTTTCCATCTGCCACTATTATGCGACGATACACACCACTTTATCTTGAATTTCAGTCAGAGCTCTAAAATCATTTATTATCACACTCACATTTCAGGATCTTCTTGCCAATTCTCAGGTAAATTGAGACATGGTTGGGGGCAAGCCGGACAAAAATAAGCCAACTCCCCACAACCTGGGCTCTTAAGAAGGCCATGGCCAAAGCCAAACCATTTCCGAACTGCAATATCTCGCCACTGGCGGGAAACCCTCATGAGTTCCCTATAACGGTCCTAAAACAGACAGATTACCTCCAAGAGACTTATCATATAACTAAGATTACTCACAGGGACAGTTTGGGGTGCAGCATTATTGGTTAACTGTCGCATCTTGGTGTAGAACCTGGATGCTGAGGTGTTGCAAACTATGGCATCAATACTAAAATATTTGAGGACATCAAAGGTGAACACTGTTCTGGGGCGAAGCTGACTGACAGGATAAAGGGCCATTCGAAGCATCTGAATGTGGCGAGGAGCTGCATCAGGACATATACACCATTTTACCTTTTGCACATAGACTCCATTGCATGGAGCAATAATCACCTCTCCCTCCTGTCGATCATCTACGACATCTTCACCCAAAAAATGTACCTGGCCTTCATCTTCCAGCTGCAGCCCGAGATCTCCCCCAAGATTAATGACATCCTCCCATCCATCTTGAACACCAAATCCACATGGACATACATTTCTGCCATGCCCCAGGTGAAGGACGAACCCCATTGAAGCCAGAGAGATTTTGACAAACTGATTCTGAACCCAGCATTCGAGACGATGAAATGGTTGTCAGCGATGTGAATCAAGGCAGCATCGGAGACATTCAAAATGATCCTCCCAGCAGTCTCGACAATGAAACTGGCCATCAGGTGCATTGCAATTAGTGCATCCACGATCCTCCGGAGGTGTCTCCATGCCCAATATCTCCAACAGATACTCAGCCCGATAGGGAAGCCATGAATGCATCAGGTCCTGTTGTGACTACAATGTGGAAAAAGTGAGCAAACATCATCTCCATCATTTTTCACTCACCTTGCCACTACGTGTCCTAGTTGACAGCGGTTCCAGAGCAAATGGATCCAGGCCATCATCACCAATAATGTGATTTTCAGAGGGCGCAGCTAAAGTCCGGCTTGGTCCTTCTACAGCTGTACCCTTCCTCCTTCCTGTCTCAGGACTCGACTTTGGTGTACCTTGCACAGCTCGCATCACTCACTTTCTGCCCCGGCGTGCCCGGACCTCTACAAGGTCAACATCCTCAATTGAACTGCAATGGTGCTTCGATTTCCTGAACTGCTTTTGACTTCTTGGAGACATTGTGATGCCGGTGAAAGTGGTGGGGATAAAGCAAGGGAGAAGAAAGTGGCGAGCAATCTCTTTATCAACATGTGCAGGCCGCATGCTCCATGAAATACAAATTACGTGATGAATGAGTAATCATTTTGCTGGCTGCCTGGTGTTGGTCATATGATTTTCTACCTCGTGCAAATCATAAAAAACGTGATTCTCATATTGCATAACATGACAAGGTTATAACAATGCGCAAATTATATCTACTTCCGAGATCCCTTCTTTTTTCATGCAGGAGCCTTGGCCTTTGCCGCCTGAGCAGGTGTTGCCTCTGTCACTGCTGTCACCTCAGCTGCAGCTGCTTGAGCCTTCCTTGTTGCTACAGTCACTCGGTCAGTGCGATGTGGAACAACAGCACTGGAGGTACTGGGAGCAGTGCCTCCATCTTTGGCCTGTGCCCGAGTTCTCTTCTTTCCAGCAGATCTATTGTGATTAAAAAATGAACACAATTAGCAAATGTGAAGACAATAAAAAACCATGCCAACAAAACCTGGCGGGTTCCTCTTGCAATTGATCCTCCTCTGGAGGCTCTCTGGCCGCAACAGGAGGAGCCTGCTGACGATGTTGTCGCTGGCGGGTTTTCGGACGTTCCTGAGGTGCCGGTTCATCATCACTATTAGCTAAAAACTCTACCGGTGGAGGAGTGGGCTAGGCTCGGCGACGTTGCAGCTGAAATGAGGCCTGTTTAACTTCAGCACTATGATCAAGGAGATGGATGGATGTCCTCACCTGTGGCTGCACAGCAGTGCTATCAGCCGTGGCTGCTTGAGCATCGGCAGGTGCTGATGTAGTCTTGATCAACTGTTGGGAGATCAGCCATGCAGCTTCTGCTGTTCGCACAGGACCCGACTCTACCTTTTCCCGATAGTGTCGCATGTAGTCATCAGTCAGATATTCGTTAACATCGTTAAGAGTTGCATCAGCGGAGAGCATAACCATGACATCCCTCACAGAACGTCGGATCCTTTTGCACCTATGAGGTTGGCCTTGCCCAATCCACCTACCGGCCTTATCCATTTGCTTTCACAGCATACACACCATCCGATGCTCTACGATCACTGGCTCCTCCACGAGGCCTGTCATCGCTGAGTATGCTGAGAATTCATCTGCTGTCAGGCCGCCCTCTGCATATGCAGTCTTCATATATGCACGAATCTGCCGTGCAAAGAGCCAACATAGTCGACGAAGCTCCAACACGAGGGTGTCATCAAGGCCAAGTGCAACTGTCTGTGGATCATTATGCCCAGCGATGAATCACAGTACCAAGCCAATTGCCAATGTCATGAGTGAGAGCTCCAAAGCTGAGGTCAGCATCTCAAATCCCTGATACGGTCATGCCTCAATATAAGCACAGAAGGTCTCAATTCCCTTCAGTGTGCAGAAGTTGGGAGGGAGTTCACAGTGTGCGAGTTCCCATGATGCCCATGCTGGGCGAGGATATTCTTTGAGCATCAGTGTGACACACTACATCTCTGATCAGATGAATAATCTATCGGAAAGCAAATTGACTTACGGGAGTGAGTCAGCAGACTTTGATAAGAAGCCTGTACTTTTTAAAGGTAGACAGAGATAAAAGAAATTCAGATCGCTGAGTTGCCGAAGCAGGCGATCCATCTTCCGGATTATTGCTAATAACAAGCATGAGACCCGATCAGTTGGACCAAAACAGTAACCGCTCACATTAGAGGGGAATTCCATTGCAGAAAGGCTTTATAGGATGACGCAATGCGTGGAAGACCACCAACCCAATTGCCTGCAAGCGTCCATTGCTCTCGAAGAGGATGCTCGATAGCTTGCCATACTCCAGGCTCATATTTCCACACCTTTACATATTCTTCAGGAATAGCAGCGGTGTCATCAGCCAGCAACCGTGGAGCGAAACATCCCGGATTATCCAACTGTGCCATTGATGGTCGCTGAACGATATGTTCGAGGTCAAGTATCCTGATGCCTTGGAATCGGGCAGATGTTGTCAGTAAAATCGCCTTCTGGCAGTCAACCCACTCTAGCTCTGCTGCATCATTTTCAGTGGGATCCGGAAGTGAAAATGCTGGCGGAGGGATCACAATTCTGCTAACATCATGCTTATACCAGTCGGCATCAACCATCATTGACCTGGGCCACAGAATAATATCTTCCGGGTGATTGGCGATCCTCAGATAGAGTTTCCTTGCATGTGCAATTGCTGCCGGAGCACCAGCAACTCCAGATGAACTCGCTTCTCCCGTCCGAGGAACATCGACAAGATCCTGTGCAGAAAATGGCTGCCATCCCTCCTCATCATAGGCAGTATTGGCGGTGTGCATTGACTTGGCCTTGTTCATCGCAGCCTTTGTCTTTACCCCCACTGAGTCATCCTCGCTGCTGGAAACATTATCCAAGTCGAACTCCTCCTCAGAATGTGGGGGAACATGCTTCTTCCTCATGGCAGGCTGCTTGCCTTTGCCCTTCGTGTGACGATTGACTTCGACCTCCACCTCATTATCGTTGTCGTCCTGGTCCCCTTCATCTGCCAAATCACCAACATTCATATCAGTGACGTCTTTCTGCTTTTTTCCCCTGGGCTTCACGGCATCACCTCCACCAGCTGCTACCAGAAATTGGAAAGCAACTGAGCCAATAGCCTGTCGATTCGCCCAGTGCTTGAGGAGCAAATCGATGTTGTCAACACTGATGTTCCAAGGTTCGGCAAAGACCACGCTGTCCGGCCAACATGCCTCATCAATGTACTTGCAGACATCTTCACTGATCTTCTTCCAAGGGCACTTTGCACGCTTGGAATCAACAATCTTTCCTGCATGTATATCATCAGCATGGATACAGATTCACTTTTGAGAATGAAGCTTATGATGCTGGTGAGTCACAATGGCCCGGACAAAATGACGCTTTTGAGTCAGCTTCCACCTCTCCTCAAATGCAGGAATGATGGCATTGCCATCATCATCGATCTCATACTGCACATCGGTGAGTGCGATTTCATCCTCTTCTTCGGCATCATTATCCTTAAGCTCATCGGGAACTAGTCATTTATTAGTGCATGTTGCTTCATATTCCATGGGTATGACTTACTCATAACATTCATTGCCCACATCCCCCACTTCTTTCACAAATCTTTCTGCCAGTCATTGACAGAGTCGGTGAACTTCAGAAAGCCACCAGTATCAGGTGACTGAAGCCTAGGATGGCGGTGAATAAAATAATGCAAATAATAATGGCCGAGACTTACTTGGTGTGCTGAATCTGTGTGGGCTTCTCTGTCGGCAAGGCCAGGAGGATGAGAACCTTTCCTCCCATCTTTGTCTCCACAGTCTGGATGAAGTCTTCACTCATCCTGCCAAGATGCTTTTGAGCATAGGCAATTTGCCCAGCTCGATCCATCTGCGACTCCTCCGTCTTCTTCGCAGCAAGCACTTTCAGTTCATCTCACTCCTCGTCGGTCAGGTCATGCCATTTATCTACAAATGCCTTGGTATACCAGACCAATTTCTCAACTTGATCCTTCGCATCAGGATGCTCCTGGCCAACCCTTTCCAACAGCTCCTCTCACCATGCCCAGTGTGCAGTCTTTCACAAAGACCACTTCTGCCCCATCATCTTCTTTCACACATCAGCTGCATCTTCCTCCACCGAGAATGGCTCTACGTCATCACCGTCCACAGTGGCGGGATCAGCCCCACCTTCACCTTCAGTCGGATCGGGATAATCGTCATCCTTGGCCATGCGTTCAGCATCTGCGAGAGAGAACTTGCAATCTGTCGTACCGGGAATGATTCCGAGATCCAATGCAGCCTTATTATTTGCGAACCAGTTGCCAATTTGCTATGCAGGAAGTGAGAAGATGTAGACTGAAAAAATTTACCATGTCGACGTACTTGAGTGTTGACCTTGGGCCTGTCTCATCCCTTTGCATTCGCCCTTGCTGTAATCGCCTCTGAGACCTTTGTCACAACAGCTGCACGTGCACCACGCTTGCTGTCTCTCCACTTAGGGTAGTACAACACCATCATGGAGCCATAGGGCTTCGACCAATGAGCTTTGCCAGCCATGATTGATAGTGGGGCTTTTGAAAGGAGGAAAGTACTGGAATTGCTGTTGTAGCAGATGGTGGGAAGAGACAAGATGGAAATTTGGGCAGGGCCAAGGGTTCAAAAAGTGCACACGGTGGCACGTGATGTGATCACGTGACTTAAGCGCCCGTGCATCGTCCGGCATACCGGCATGGCTTCGCCTTATTCATGCTTCATGGATACAAACTCAAGTATTACAATTTTTTCTAACTACAAAGATGGAAAACAAAAGGTGACTTGTGATGACTGAGGGCGGGCCCTCCCTCATTCGCCACAAGCACCAGGAAGAAGGGAAAAATGAAAGAAAATAGACTACAAGGAAAGTACAAATACAATCTGCAAAACACCAAAAGGAAGTCAGAAAACAGTCGGAAAACGTTAGAAAATGCTCACCTTGCGTGCTGCATTGCTCGCGCTGCAGTGACCGTCGTCAATTAAAAAGACTGACCTTGTGGAGCAGGCCAATGGCGGCTCCACGCACGACTTGCACAGCACAAGGCTGATGGCCGGCAACAATGTAATGTGCAGAGCACATATGAGCCTAGATGCAAGTACGCTGAAGCGCATTGGCACCGAAGTGCAAAATCCCCCAATTTCCGTATATACTGGGTGAGAGGCGCGAGTAGATTGCCCCCACAATGCGGAGCCCTCTGCAGCTCGCCGCTGCATGCCCAGTGATCCCCCAAATCTCAAGTACCAGGTGAGGGATGTGAGTGGGTCGCCCCCACAACGCAGAGCCCTCTGCAGCTCGCTGCCGCATGCCCGGTGATCCCCCAAAACCCACATGTACCCCATGACTGGCCAAAGACCAGCCATGGGATGATGTCAGTAAAGTGCATATTACATAATACTATCTACAGGAAAAGAAACAGTCACCTTACAAAGGCATGCACAAATAACTGAGCTTTGACACTGCATGCCCATGGCAACATGCAGCAACAAAGCTCAGCCACTTGTGGCCGGCTTGCTGGAAGGGGATGGTGGTGGTAGAGAAGGAAGAGAGAGAGGAAGTTGCGCCAGCTCATAAAACCAACTATTTGGCCATGTTTGTTCGGTCATGTGCCCCAGACACCAGACACGTCAAGCACCTTCCATATGCAGAAGGTGTACACTGGTGGCTGGAATATTGCTATATTTGGATGATTTTCGGACTCCGATCAAATTTCAGCCACTGTCCACTAGATTTCGGGAAGTCCGGCCATCTAAGCATATCACGTGATCTCCATGGGCTCGCGCGCACAAGTCCTTTTGATTGCAATCACTGTAATCTGATTTATCTCTCTCTCTCTCTCTCTCTCTCTCTTGCTCTATCCTTACTGTCTGATCTCTGCTATATTTCAGTTGCTGAGCCTCTCCTGCTTATTCTCAGACATCTATTTCACTGCTTTTGTATATTCTACCATGCACAGCCAGTCCGAGAAGCACGCACAGTCTGCTCAGCCTGCCCATTAGACCTCTACCCCACAGTCTGGTGTCAGGCACTTTACCTCCAATCTGCACTCAATCCCGGAGGATCTTGCGACTGTGGGTACAAGCCAGGACCGGCATCAAGCTTTTAATCTCGATCCGGCCGATCAACCAATCAGGGGAGGCATCTCATACTGTAGATCTGCACCACCGGCTTACTCCCCTGGCTGAACTTCGCAAAAGGACAGACCTGGTATGTTTCTATGTTTCTAATAGTGAAAACGTTTGTCAAGTAAGCAACATTTCATTTGATATGTTGATGACAGACTCTACTATGCATTCACCAATGCCTCACATGACCCCCCAAGAAGATGCTATGTCACAATCGACTCCGAGTGTGGACGAGATGATGGATGTGGATAATTGGAAGCAGTTCCAGTCGAGGGGAAGTGGAAAGGACAGGGGGAGCCTTTCACATAGAGGTTCGTATGAAGATGCCGATGAAGCTGGTCAGTTGAAGGGGGAGATTCTGGATGACGACTCGGACCGAGGTGACATGTTCGTAGTAAATCGCGATCGCACAGGAAGCCCGCCTCTGTCCAATGACGAGTCAGAGGAGACTGATGAATTGGATAATATCGACGAGGAATTGGAGGAGACAATCCATCAGCCACGGAGCTATACACCTGTGTCAGATGTCGAGGAGGACATCGAGGAGGGCATCAAGGAGGTCATCGAGGAGAAGGGCAAGGAGGAGGACAAGAATGAGGATGAGGACAATGATGAGGACGAGGACGATGACGAGGACGAGGACGATGACGAGGACGAGGACGATGACGAGGACGAGGACGATGACGAGGATGAACAAAGTGTTTCTGTCCAGCCCTTACCTGTCTTTCAGAGTCGCCCATCTCACAGAGTCATACGCAGGCCGAAAGGATGTGCATCTGCTGCTAAAGTGGATGCCCCTCAACGCCGAAGCAGTTGACTCTTGGCTGGTCCTGTAGTGTCTACCGCTGCCGCTGTTAGTGAACGTGAGTGCAGCGCACTCACCCCCAATCCAACTACGCCTCCTCCTACTCACCCACCGAAGCGTCAACATCACAAGGTCTTTCAGATGGCACAGAAGTCTGTGGGGTTGCCGACAGGTGAACGTGGTCCACTCGACAATGGTGCGTTGTTCAATTTTCGGCAGTGCATTTTTATTCTTATGATATTAGCCTCTGGAATGTTACAAGCCTCCGATGACCTGCATGTGGTCTCTTAGCTGCCAAGCCTGGTGTCAGTTGTTTCCAATGTCATCTCCAATTCTGATGTGGTGTGTTTTCTCTCTTCAACATATGAGTCTTGCTGACTCAATGCACCTAGTATTGGTTTCTCTGCCAACAAGGTGGAGACTTGGTCGACTGTGACCGTCCTAACTGCAGCAGAGCTGTTTGCTTGCATTACATTCCAGATCTCCAGCAGTGGAATATGACTGAGCAGATGTGGTTTGAATGTTCGGTCTGCGCTACAAAGCGTGGCGGTGGTGTGATGCAGGTATACCATGTAGGTTATATGCATTCTTTACTCCCACAGAAGCTGATGTCTGAGGGTTATCAGGGCCTGTATAGTGTCCAATCTGCGGAAAAACCTTGGGTACCATTGACAAAAGGTCTTCGGATCCTCGGCAAGCCTGAGATATCACAGGCCGCAAGGTTGGATACCTCATCTTTGGTTTTGGTTCATCTGCACCTGCGCTCACTGCCTGAGTATGGTACCATCGCCAATCTTGTGGAGGAGTATCTTCGAGCCTATTATGTTGACCGCAGAGAGTTCCTAAACCGGCTTGATGTCGTCTTTGACTTGGAAGGCTCAGAGGCCACAGAAGGTCATCGTCTTCATATGCTCGACATAGTGTCGAAAATTCGATCATATGTCATCTGCCTTTCGCATTGACTCAGAGCTGATCCTGATCTTCTCCTGTGTCACTAGCTACAAGCCTACCCGCATGCTAATTCTTATTTATACACACTCGCACAATGACACCAGTGACTTGTTTTACAGCAGCCACTGGGTAGGCACAATTGATACTGTAAGTCTCTCATGACCGATGGGACCTTGCATTCACTGATTCGTCACAGTTCTTCAAATTTGTTGTCTGTGAAGACCTGATGGCGCTCTCCCGAGAGGTGCCGACAACATTTGCGCTGCTGGCTTGTGGTTCCGTGGTGTCAAAGGCAGCTTCTGGGGAAGACTTGGTCACAGTTTGTACACGGTACGGTCTTCTCATTACCCTCCACTCGATATTAGCATTTTTACACATGCACGATTTAGCTACAAGCTCCCCCGGGTTTTGGCATTCACAGCACCGGTGCTGTCTTCTATCAGTGCGGCCCCCTTCTTTTTTGGATTCGTGCGCCGTGTGTTTATTGAAGGAGCCACTGTCGGTGACCTGCTGATGAGCGAACTTCTCGCCAGTTCAGGCCCATTGGGCAGGCACTCCAGGGTCATTCTCTTGGAAGGAACCACTCAGGATCGTGTCATCAGCTGTGGTGATGCGACGACTGGTGATTTGGATAAGGCCAGGTGTAAGCGAGCACGGGCAGAGTCCTACAAGCTGACCATCTCAGAGTACATCTGGGATCATCCCAGGATCAGCCCCTATGGCAATCGGGTTCCAATGCAGTGCGACACTTGTCTTCGCTTAGGCACTTTCGTCTTCTTCGATCGTAAGGGCACTTCTCCCCAGACTCATTACTATCGCTGCAAGCATTGTCATGCTGAGTGGAGCTTTGAGCCTCTGCAGGATGGCAGGCTTCTGAAGGAGTTCAACCAAGGCACCTGGGTGAAGGTTATTCAGCAGTAGTTTAGGACATATCATACTGTGTCTTTGTTACCCACTCCTTTCCCTTTGTACGATATCAGTTGTTGTTATATGCTTTCTGTTTCTTGCCCATCGCTTACCCTTTGTACAATATGTGTGGTCATTGTATGCTTTCTTTTTCTCCCTAAATGTGTTGTCTTTGTACAGTATCAATTTTTGTGGTTTGCTTTTGATATGAATTTTGCGGTCTGCGTTCGATATGTCTGTAGTGATACGATATGAAAACTACACAGATGAGTTGGTCAATGTTTTCTCTCATTTCGGTGGAGAGACTCTGACATAAAGGAACCTTGGAGAATGCGCTGCAGTCATGAGGTCACATGACTGTGGGAAACTCACGATCATGTGACAACTTTGCATGATGTGCTGGCACTGTGCAATTTTTTATAATCCTATTTTCATTGTCTGATGACTTTTCAAGGCGGAAGATTTCGACATAGTCTTTCTCAATCACATAAATGTCGTTGGCATGCACAGGAGCATAGATTGTCCGATGAAAAAGGTCATAAAACAGCTGAGATGACGAAGGGGTATTTTAGTCTGACAGGCTTACCTCCTTTTCTTTACTGACATGAATTCTGTGTGCAGTGCACTGACACTTGATGAATTTCTGTGGAAGAGGTTATCGGAGTTGCTGAGAGAGGCTACTGGTTTTTATAATACTCATAGGCACACTGCTCCAGTCGCTGACATTGAACGTGAGAGAATAAGGTCTGTTTGATTCCATAATCTACATTTGTGTTGCTTATGATTATGCAGAACACGCCTCCAGCAGCAGGCATTGAAGGAAAAATCCCTCATAGCTCAACATGTGAATTTCACATCGGCACCCCATGCCATGGAGCTGGACCATATTGTCACTGTTGTTGCCTGTGCGCTTCTGAATCCCAGTTTGTCATTTTTGCTTGTTTCAATCGGATGCATATTGATTTGCCGTGTTACTAAGTTCATGTCAATTGTTATGTGACAGACAAGGGAGTGCTAAAGAAGAATGGCAAGCAGGACTGCCAAGGACTAATGCTAGTCATCTTAGAGCCTGCAGTTATTCTGGACATGAACAATAAGGTTCTTACATGGTATCTGCCAGGTATCTTGGGACAAGCACGTATAGTAAGTCTTCTCTCTAACTGCTGTCACTTGCTAATATAAGCCCTAGAATGACTACAATGATGCGACTTGTGGAATAAACCAGTTACTTCAGAGAACGGTTTCACAAGGTGGAAACTTTCAGACAGATGCAGATCTGTTCATTGCAGCTCCCGGTGGATGGTTCAACCCAGGCTCTCTGGACATCTCTGCTGGATGGTTTTCATGAGGACATAATGTGAGTTTGGACATCAATGCCACATTTATATGATCTGAGAAGAGCATGCATGCTTCAGACAAATCTCATTCCATCTGTCTCATTACGAAACGAACCGGTCGGTAATTGGCTGGAGAGGACCTCATTTGTTGAGCAGTTGCTGAACACAACTTTATGCCTGATAAACCGGCCACTCTATTTTGCAGGCATCTCTAGCAAGTTGAAGATTCAGCATGAGAATGTTCTACAGCGGACGCATGAGAATGTTCAACGGTGGCCCTCAAATTTCACAGCAATGGGGATTATTGTGAATCGACGGACAATTCCTCATCGGGATGGCAAAGCCTGGCATGCATGCCTTGATTTATTGGCCAGTGTGGGTACTCATAAATGGGCAGTGCTTCGATTGGATGATCTGCAAATGGAGCTGGGTTACTGCCCTGGAACATTCGTAGG